ACACAACTTAAAAGTAACAATGTCATCGTGCGACATGTTCAATCAACACATCACATATTGTTCCCTGAAAACTTATCAATATAAAAATTCTCAATATATATGATTTCCTTTGGCTAGTTTGGATCATTTATAGAAAACTTGACAACAAAACATTCCCCAGAAAACTGCATTTTAAAAACGGTTTTGCATACAAGATTACAGTACCTGCTCAGCGCACATGCTTTTCTCAAGAGGAAGCAAATGTTCCAGATTTATGACAGATAATCCTAGGAGAGGGTTTCTCTTTAGAATCCAGAAGCAAAAATTGTTTTTTTAATCATCCAGACCATAATCAAAGTGAACTAAATTACAATTCTGCTTCAGAAAATATTCATGGAACCCCACCAAAAAAAAGAAAAAGAAAATATTCATGGAAGGGGGGAAATATTTTTTTTTCTCAGAGAACTATGGAGTTGTGGAGGACATACTATCGAACAAAATTCTGAGATATAGAATGCAACAAACAGTATCAGGTAATCTAGATTCTGGACAGATGATTCCTCAAAACAAGAAAACTGTTTCATTTTTAAGTTTAGGTGCTAATTTTTTTTAGCAGCTGGTTGCTTGGTGCGGGTTCACATACTACTGACCATAAACATTTTCAGCTTTATGCAATACAGGCTTTTCTTTCCTAACTCAACCGAAAGGTGAGTGCTTGTACATGGTACCGCAGAATGAAGTAAAATGGAAATGACAAGTAATGCTATTGCTTTCACAGAAATAAGATACTGAAGCTGAGGATAAGAAAATGAATATGCTTTACAGGTAAGCGCAGAAACGTACCATTTGAGAAGATTTCACATTGTCTTGAGCAGGGACATGGGCAGAATACTTATCCTGTTGATATGTTCTTGAGTTTAAAGGTGCAGTGCGGCTGTAATTCTCTGCAGCTGCCATCCGGGTTTTCGGAACTGCATTGTTCGCTTCTCTTCGCGCTGGGCCGTTATGAGAGTACTCAGATGCATACCCACCCCTCGAGGCCACACCTTTGCTCCGTGTCTCCACCTGACTGGAGAACTCCGAGCTCCCAGCTGAGTCCGAGTACTCCTCCTCCTCAACATATCTACCGACCTGTGCCTGGGGCCGCCGTACCTGCTGCTGCTTCGTCCTTGGCAGTGCAGTGTCTCTCGACGAGCTCAGATCCGAGTAATCGCTCGAGTAGTAACTCGGCATCCCGGGAACCGTAGCATACCGGTACTGGGGCACGGCCGTGCGCCTGAGAATGTCCTCGCGGCGGGGCGACGAGTCCACGGAGTATCTGCCGCTGCACACCTCGACCTCCTCGGTGTCCGACGACTCCTCCATGTCGGATCCCGAGGCGACGCTGCCGTCGTCGGTGCGCAGCGGCGGCGCCGCCGCGCGAGGCAGGTGCCCGCTCCGGAACTTCTCCGGCGGCGGCATGCCGAGGCCGCCCCCGGCGCCGCGCACCGCGCGGAGCGCGTCGATGCGGTCGTGGCTGTGCACCGCCCCGCCATGGCCCTGCCACATTTTGCATCAACCAACACCACCACGCAGAAAAAAAAAAGCACGCGTCAGTGACGAAAACCCAACGCGACACCGAGCAAACCAGCTAGGGCTCGGGAGGAGCACGGCGAGCTCGAACTCTCACCTCACGAACCCACTTGAGGGCGTCTCGATCTAGCCCCTCCGTGAACATCATCAGCGCATGCGAGTTCCAACTGAAACGGACGAACAAATTCAGCAGAAAAAAATCATCAACAAAATTTCAAGCCACTCACACCAAATGCATGCGATCCAAACACCCACAAACCACCGGGGAAAAAAAATCCACACAACGCAGATTCAAGCACGACGAGCAAATTCCAACGATTAGGAACCAAATCCAGCAGAGAAATCCCACTTACCTTGCACCCGAGCCGGAGCGCGGATTCGGCGCTGGAACTGAGAGCGACACGACCGCTCTGGTTTGAATTAATTCGAAAAAAAATCCACGCAAACAATTCCACCCAGCGGCTAGCGGAGGCGACAGCGACCGGAGCCCGGAAGAGAGCCCGAGTGAGGTGGTAGGGAAGAGGGGAAGAGGAGAAGGAAAGGGACAACGAAGAGTTTAGGCTTGGGTCAGTGTGGGAGAAGAAAGGAAAACCCACTGTAAATTTTCGAATTAACGGAAAAAAGGCAGGGTAATTTACATGTTAGCCCTCGTCTGGTTCCTCGTTTGGTAAGAAATTAATGGAAGATCTCTTCAACGCGTTTCAGAAATTTTCTCGATTTCCTTCCTCTTTGCAGAAATAACCCAGCGTTTGCTTAGCAAGGAGAAAAAAAAATCATCCTTTGATACGGTAAATCATATCTCGTGCGGTGCTTGCAGTAACCTTCCGAAGTTACGGTAAATTATTTGGCGGTAATTCTCGTGCGGCAGAGGGACCCATCGGTGAATTCATTAACACGGTCCAACGTTTAGGTTGGACTCTCGCTTTCCGTTTCGTTTGAACCTTCTCCGCACGTCAGCCACAACGGGAGGGAGGCCGCGACGCCCGGGCGCGCGTTGACGCCGTCACGGGGCGCGCCGTTACTCCGGCCGTGGTGGGGCCCCGTAACGGTCGAAACGTCGTAGTGGGCGGCCGACGTGGTGGCGCCGTGGCGGGGTGGACCGGTGGGAACGCGCTCGCCCGCCCGAGGGGAATCTGTACCGTTCGATGCTCCGTAGGGACACGTGGCGCGCATCGGGAGCGGGATGAAGGGGCGCGCGGTGTTGTGTGGGGCGGCGCATGTGACGGAGGGTGGGGGCACATGGGTAGGTGGGGCCCACGTGTCGGGGTCTTTTTCTCCAGCGGCGTGGCTATAATATTCCGGCTGCCGCGGGTGAAAGGACGGTGATGCCCCTGGCTTTTCGGGGGAATTACACTCGGCTAATGGGCTCGTGCCACTGATGGAGTGACACTGATGCTGCTACTAGTAGCTTTCGGTGCAGTCTGTATTGTGCTGGATGGGTGTGAGGCGGTGTGGGGCCCGGTTGGCGCAGCAGGGGAAAAAAAAAAACGAAGGAGTAGAAAAAACACAGGATTCTGACAGGATTTGAAGCGTAAAACAAAGGATTGTAAAACACAAGAAAAACATAGGAATGGTCGTTTGATTGGAGCGCAGGAAAAATGCAGGAATCGGATGAGAGAGATAGACTAAAAGGAAATTTTCCAAGAGGTTGGAGCTCTTGCTAAATTTTCTCCAAAATCTACATACAATGTGCCGTTTCATATGAATTTTATAGGATTTGGAAAGCTTCGATCCTTTGAATCAAAGGGCCAAATAGGAAAATTTCCTATAGGATTTGAATCCTATGAAATTTCTATATAAATCCTTTGATTCAAAGAGGCCCTAACAGTAACACACAACTAGGCCCTTGCTGGCTGCTAATGATGGTAGGGATTGCCATTTTGTTCCTGCCTGAGCTGAAACATAGCTGTTGATTGTTTGTAACGTGAATTTTTCATGCATTTGTTAATCTATAATTCCGCAAAGCGATCATGTGTTAATGCAACCCCAGCATTTTCATCCACTAATAAAGTAATAAACAGATGGTTAAATTCAACTGAAGTTGTTCCGCGTGAACTTCTCTACTCCAAAATTCAGGTACTAGAAGCAATTCATGCATCGAGTATGAACATAAAACGCTAACCTGTACAAAACAATATCAAGAACGCTCCACCGACACTACCGATCCACCCGACCCCAGCATTTCCTTGGCTCCTCGTCATCTGCAGGTCGTCGTCGTCATGAGCTTTTCACCGATGTCGAAATTGTACGTAGGTGTCTTCCAAGCTTGAGCCAATTACGTACCTTTTTGGCTTTTGCAGCGTGGCCGATCGCGCGGAAAGGGGAGCGGTTTGGTCGGGTTGGACGAGAAATCGACGGGGCACCCCGGCCCGCCCGACTGATGAGATTTCACACGGAAAGCGTTGCGCGCGAGCGCGAGAGCTGCACCCCACCCAACACGTAAAGGTTGCGTCCGGATCATAACGGTGAACGTTCAGGGGCAAACCTGGAAACACAGTATTAGGCCATTCCCAATGCAATGACTAGATGATGTGTATAGTATTAAATAAGCTGCCACCTATAATAAAAAATGATATGACAACTGAATAAATGAGGAAAGAGAAGAAAACTATGTCTCAAGACATGGTTTCTACACGATATCAAAACATCATGTGAGATAAATAACATTAAATTTAAGTATGAAATAGTGATGTTTGCATTAGAATAGTTGTGTCTAGTAGTAGTTTCTTAATGATATGGAGTTTATAGAAACTATACGTTTAGATTGGGAATGGCCTTACGTAGGAGTACTCGTTAATGTTCCTCGTTTACTGAGCAGTGTGAAACTGCACGTGGACCTGAAGCATTTTCTCCTTCGTTTACTCGATCTGCTTCCTTCGACACTACGGAATGTCAGTCAGCTCTGATATGTCGATTGTAGTGAGCTGTTTTTTTTTGTTAATAGCAAGTGGTAGTGCAAAGCGTTTCTTCTCCCGTGTAACACGGCAAAATGCCATGTTGCCATGGGACCTGAGGCTTATTTGCTTAGCAGTGCGGGATTTGCTGAAACGAAACCGATTCCCGTTTTGCGTGGATGGATGCTTCACGCCGGCTGGATCCGAGTTTCGGCGTGGATCACTTTTGGTGTGAGCTAATATTATTTTCGACGTGTGTAGAGCTAAACCCAACTTTATTTCGAACCGGGGGCGGAATAATAGCGGAATGTGATCGTGCCGTGTAATGATTCCAATTGTCGAGTAAGCATCGTTCGTGCACTTTGCTAATGTCCTCTCATCGAGTATTTTACATGGAAAATTCCTTTGTAGAGTAGTACTACTGTACTTGTAGCTGCCCAAGTGACGAGGGAGTTGGTGAGATTTTCGTCCCAGGTGGATGGTGAATTGGTGATCTGTGTCAGTTCATCCTATGGGCCGAGACAAACAAAATGGATTTCAAAGCCCATCCAAAACACGAATACGTTGTACATGGGCCTGGGCCTCAAGTGCAACCACAGGCGAAGCCACGTCGGGCGTGTCAAATTGTGGTCCATTACTCGACCAGAAAATCCCCCCCAAAAAAATCAGAAAAATCTACTACTAGAACCTTCCTGGCTTCGTCGAAGCCCACGAAATCCAACTACCGCCAGCCATCTCACGGGACGGGAGAATCGCCGGAATCGGCGCGATTCTCCGGGCACGAATCGGGCCGAGAAATCCCGGGTGCGCGCTGCGTCGAAGCGGCGCGGCGAGAGGGGAGGGGAATGTGGTGGGAGTGGGAGGAGGACGGCGAGGAGGCGGCGCGGCCGGGGGAGGAGGTCCCCGTCGACTTCGACTTCATCTCCCTCCTCTGCAAGCCCAAGGTGGGAATCGCCACGCCCACGCCTCGTCTCGTCTCTTCTCCTTCGATTTCTCCGCCGCGATCTTTTTTTTTTCTGTGGCACGTTTGTTCATGACCTGAGTTAACCCTCACGGGCGTTTGGATTGCGATAGATGATTGCTGTTTTTGTGTTGGGGGGAGCGGATCTTGTAGATGGAATGCCGCCCGCTGGTTGCGATTGTGCTGTTTCCTTTTACCCAATTGGGAATTGGCTCAGGGACCCCGATTCGTGAATGCAGGATTACTACAAGATTCTGGAAGTGGGATATGATGCGTCGGAAGAGGCGATCAGGTCGAGCTATATACGTCTTGCACTGGTCAGTGTTTGCTCTAACACGGTGCTGTATTTGTGCTTCACATTCTTGAATCGTCCTGTGAATTATCTCGTCAAGTAAAGTTTGGCCTAATTCCACTTTTGTGCTTCACATTCTTGAATTGTCCTATGAATTATCTCGTCAAGTCTAGGGATTCCACTTTTGTGATGGTTTACACCAATGCCTGCCTAATGATGTCCACTCTCTTCATTCAGAAGTGGCACCCTGACAAGAAGCAGGGCGAAGAAAATGCAACCTCCAGATTTCAGGAGATTAATGAAGCATACCAAGGTGAGCAATGAAGTTGTTTAATTGATCTGATACGTCTATGTCTATGTTAACTTCAATGTGAAAATAGTATGTGCCGTACTGCAGTTTACCTTTGTTTTTTTGGTCTCTTGCTAACATAATAAGTTGCCAGCAGCAAATCAAAATAGATATTAATGTTCGGTTGCATGCAGATTTATCTGTATTAGTGAATTTCATAACTATTACTCCTGAGATGCCTAGACATGGAACAATTGATGTCATCTATGTCCAAGAGACCAAGATGTTATTCTTGAATTTAAATACAAGGAATTGCTACCACAAGACTAAAGGATGTTTGGCTGTTCTTTCAAATTGTTTAGGTGCCAATGATTCGTGTGTTTCCTCATTTACAATGGATTAGTAGTTACTAGGAATCTGGGTTGTGCTTAATTAAACAATCCAATTTCTCTCGGCATTCAGTTGGAGATAGCTTCCTCGTATTCTTGTCAAGTAGATTGTCAAATCTTCTGGAGACTAATGCACTTCGAACAGGAGAAATTGCTCATTGCTTAACACAAAAATGCTCAGATAATCTATAGTCAGGCTAGCTCTGTGATTGAATCATTGCTAAGAAATTATGTGAAACATGATCTTAGTTCGTTGTCACACTTGAGCCACATTTATGGTGCACCTTGAACATCTTGGATACATTCACGTAGCTTTATAAATTTATATGCATTGGTGTTACTATCTGTGCTCACTGACAGGGCATCTTTTCGTAACTAATCTTTCCCATTGTAAAGAGTGTTCTTCAGTTTGATATATCAGGTCTCATTCATGATACCATAACTGTTTTTCACAGTGCTCAGTAATCCAGCCAAAAGGCGAGAGTATGACAAGAAAGGCATTCTTTATGTTCAAGATCATAATGTAGTGGTAAGTCCCCGCCCTCCTACCCCCACCCAACACACACACACACACTGAAAGAAAATCTATGTTGCACAAGACACTTCTGATTTTTCATAACTCTTTCAGGACTATCTGAACCGGCACAAAGGTTTAATCCTTACTTGCAATGGCCTTGGCATAAGGCATTCAGTATGGTGATCTTACTCAGGGGTACTACAGTCTGCATCCATCTGCTGTCTTTGGATGGTGTGTGTCATTGTAAAATCTCATGTAATCTGCAAAATGTAGCACGGTCATGCGGACCTGCCACTTTTGGGAGGAAATGATGACGCTGAGTTCATCCTGGTATCCTACAACATAGATGATTCTTATTTGGTGATCAGTTGTTGTAGATTGCACGAAGCAAGAGTTCTAAGTTACACATACATGTCGCCCCTTTGTGTAACATACTAACATACCATATGAAATGCCAGCACGCACTTCAAAATATCTTGTTAGTTACTGATGTTATTGAGCGCAGCTGAATGGCAGGGGGAAAATAACTCGGTTAAAGACTTACCTGGCAAGTTTTATATTGCCTTTAAAGGGGAAATATAAGTACTTCACATAACGGTATCTGCATTTCGCACTGATGCAACTACAGATGTAGCGATTTGCCAGAGATAGGATTTAGGATTTGTGATTTGTCTAAAAAGTTCTCTATGCTACTTGCTTAGTATATATACAATATATTTCTTCCAATGTTTTTCAAACTACAGTGTTTTGACAAATGGAAAGTGGTCGGAAGGGAATTAGGGAAAATATCAGCTGATCTGTTGGTGACACTGCTTCTCCCACTCAATTTTCAATGTGTCAAAACTCAATAGTTCTTTACAACAAAAGGGACGGACAGTTATGTGCTGAAGCAATTTACCAAATATGAAGGTCGACCCATTTGATATATTATTATGTATCCAAGGTACACAGCTTCACAGTTGGCGGCACTTTCAGTATGGAGTATATACATCGGATCAAGTGGTAAAAAAACCAGAAAGACTTGAGCAAGCTCCGCTCTAACAAACAAAAATCTATGGATGTCTGATCATATTTGAAGCGAAAGAAACGTGGCTTACATACACAACTTTTTTCCCTTTCAGTAATAGAAAAAAGAAGACCTAATAATAAGTTGGCTGCGAAGCCTAACATACACCATAGGATCATTCATCGTGAGCTCAAATAATCCTCTCTTTCAGATCTTCGAATTTCGCAAACAGTTTGTCCCTGCTTTCCTGCATATATGATAAAATGATCTTAGGATCACACAACAGGAATGACTGGCGCTTGCTTTGTAGGGAGTTGAAAATGTACCTTGAAGAGGAGGTACCGTGAAGTGAACCAAATTGAGTAACCAGTTCCTATGAGTTCAAGAACTTTTGGAACCTGCAATGAGATGATCAAGCGGTTTAGGAAGTACAGTGTAAACTCTTCAAGTAATAAGTACGACAAAACTATATCAACCCTACTACTGCTGACAACTAGAACTACATTTTTCAGATACTGGACAACTAGGACTACATTTTTCAGATAATGGACAACTAGGCGTATATACCAGGAGCGGTTTGAAGACAGATTTTAACTATTTTCGATACATACAAATTTGTAAACAATGTCATATCTACATATTTGGTGAAAAATGTCATATCTACATACCAAGGGAATGGAATCGATTGCAGAAACAACTGAAGATAGAACCCATAGGACAACCAAAGCACCGGATCCATAGAGGACAAGAGTTGGTGTCACTTGGATGTCCAGCTGAAATGAACGATTAAAAAATTTGTGTGAGCAACAGTACTAAATGCAGTACAGCAAAGGCGTTTCAATGCCTCATCCCGTATAGCAAACACAAGAACAGGCAAGCTGAATATATGGAAATGGATGCAGGAAAGATGAGATTATGGTGATACATACACTCGCTTCTGAGTTAACAGAAATAGAAGGAAAAAAAACAATGTGGTACGCTATACATGAAACAATCAAACTTCAATCCATAGCAAGAAAACTATGGCATATGGCATTTGTTTCTGTCTATCATGTGTTGGGGTTTAGAGCTCTGTCTCTGCAAACCTCATGCTAGGTCCTAATCACCCAGCTCACAAACTCTCACATTTTGGTACACGAGTCGGTGACTGAACTCAATTTTACATTTTGAGATCTATCAAGTATGCATTTGTCATTGGATTCTTCACCATACTTCTGTATGCAATATTCTTCAACTCGTCTCTCCTCTCAATCATTTGACAGCAACAGGTAATTGGGCATTGATATGTCAGAATTGGCGATCAATTCAGAAACATCAACAGGTACAACGAGGCAATACCTTGCTGAGGATGTCATCCAAGCCGCCGTCCTCCTCGGCTGCCCCCGACGACACCGGCGCCGCCGCCACGGTCTCCAGAGACCCGCCATTAGAGACCGCCGCGACCTCCTCGCTCTTCTCCTCCGCCGGCGGCGGATCGGGCTTGTCCTCCGTGACGACGACGGTGGACGCCGACGCCGACGCGGGCTCCTCCGATGGCACCGGGTCCGGCGCCGCCGCGCTCGCGCACCGCCATCCTGGCGACAACCATCACCAACAGCAAAACCGTCAGAAAGATAATCAATCAATCAATCAAAAAAAATCGTGGCGCGTTCGGGCACCTCGAGTCGGGAGGTGGCGGTTGCTGCGGCGGAGGGTGGCGGCGGCGGCGACGGCGGGAGGAGCAGCGCGGCGGTGGTGGAAGGAGGAGGCGAAGCATAAGGGGGCGGTGGCGCGCGCGGAGGCGACGGTGGAGACGAAGAGCTCCATTTTTTTTTTCTCTTCCTCGGCTTTCTGTGGAGGCCCGAGAAGGCTGGGGGTTTGAGGTTTTTGTGAGCTGGGAGGAGGATGAGGGTGGTGGTGGGCTAGTGGCTCAGTGAGACTGTGCGAGTGAGCTGTGCACTACTACTACTTGTGCTGATGCTGTCCGAATTTTTCTTTTCTTTTTCTTTTTCTTCTCTTTTTTCACACACCCTGATTTTTTGTTTGTGCTTTTGGAGGGTGACATGTGGCGCTTTCTCTTTTGCTCGCTCCTTTTCTCTGAGTACCACCTGTGTGTGTGGTGTGGTTTCGCATTCTTTGGATGGATCTACTTTCATTTTCATTCTTCTTTTTCTGGTACAATTATACTCCCTGTAACTGTAGTCCTGTACCATGCAATTTAACTGTAGCATAATTCGTATTCTAGAAGATTTTGGCCTGTTAAAATACAAACAAATTGATAGTGTCCGTAGTACATGTGGAGTAGTATGTGCTGCCCATTTAGATCGAGTTGTCTGGGTACTTCCACGCCACCATTTTTTCCAAGTCCATAAAATATTTTCTATTTATTTTAGTACGGCAGATTTTCATTCGCTAGCCAACCATAGAACTGACACATTACATAGGCACTTTCTCTTTTTCCTGGGATAATACATTAACATTTGGGGTAACATTTTCTAGTGGACCAAAAATTTTGTCGGCTGGTAACACGGCCTTTGAGAAGGCCCAGTACTGCAGGTATACCATTCCGTCCGGTCTCCAGCCCGCTTCCTTACGTTGTACTTAGTAGGATAATTTGGGCTGGCACAGTAAGTAGGCCTAGCATTTTCACCGACCACGCGCGTGGGCCTGGCTGGGTGGTGACAATGTGTGTCATGTGGAGCCCAAATTGGCAGATTAAACTCGTGTTAGCAAGCGAAATTAATGGGCCCACTTGTCAGTCTCATTTATTCTCGTTAAACAAACAGGCAAACATTCCGAGCCGTTAATACCGTAGCCTCGTTACTCGTTACTCACTCCGTCCAAAAAAAAATAAATCTAAAATATAGAATGTGACATATCCTAGTAGAACGAATCTGGACATATGTATGTCCAGATTTATTGTACTAGGAAGTACTATGTTGGTTTTTTATGAGACGGAGGGAGTAGCCATTACCCGTGCAGACAAGCATGGCTCCGTTCGAGCAGGAGAGATTGCTGGGAGATTGAGGAGAAAACATCTACTTTTCTACGCGCACACTTCCCAAACTACTAAACGATGCGTTTTTGGCAAAAAAAAATTCTTTTGAAAAGTTGTTTTAAAAAATCATATTAATCTATTTTTAAAACTTACAATAGTTAATACTCAATTAATAATACACTAATGGCTCACCTCACCTTATTTTGCGTATCTTCTCAATCCCCTCTTTCCTATCCTCTCAGGATTCAACCCAGTTATCATCATCACCAGTATTAATAGTTTCCAGCCCAAGGAATTATTTTGTTTCGGACTAGAAGTCTCAGACACGATGGTATTTGCTTCGGATTGGCTAAGGATTTGGTGCATATTTATCGGCCCAGCCCAAATTCTTATCGGGCCTAGCCCATCCGGTAGCCGCCATAACCCCACCGGCCACCGTGGTCAGCTTCTCTTATCGCGTTGCCCAAATAATTACACGAATCGAACCAAACCCTAGCTTTTCCTCTTCGATTCCCGATCCCCCACCCAGCGACTCGCCGGAACCCTAGCCCTAGATCCCGCGCGGCTTGCCGCCGTGCTAGCCATGGCGTCCCTCAAGGAGCTCCTCCCGACGCCCAAGGCGGCGGCGTCGACGTTCTACGACCACAGCAGCGACCCGTGGTTCAAGGAGCGGTATGGCGGGGAGTCGGCGCAATCCGACGCGGCGGCGGCGGCGGCGAAGCCTTCGGGCCCCGCCAAGCCCGTGCCGCCGTACGGGAAGCGTGGCGGGTTCGTGCCGCGGCGGCCGGAGGACTTCGGGGACGGCGGCGCCTTCCCGGAGATCCACGTCGCGCAGTACCCGCTCGGCATGGGCCGGCGCGACGAGAAGGGCGGCTCGAAGATCCTCGCGCTCACCGTCGACGCCAAGGGCAGCGTCGCCTTCGACGCCGTCGTGAAGCAGGGTGAGAACGCCTCTAAGATCGTTTACTCAAAGCACAGCGACCTCGTGCCCAAGATTGCCACGGCTGATTCCGAGGCAACCGCGGACGACGAGGAGTACCAGAAACAGATCGAAGAAACCACTGAACGAACTAAAGCTGCCTTGGAGAAGGTTGTCAATGTTCGGCTCTCCGCCGCACAGCCCAAGAATGTGCCGACGCATGATTCAGAGTCAAAGTTTATCAAGTATAAGCCATCGCAGCAATCGGCAGCCTTCAATTCAGGTGCCAAGGAGAGGATTATTAGGATGTCAGAGATGGCTCAGGATCCTCTTGAGCCACCGAAATTCAAGCATAAGCGAGTGCCCCGCGCTTCTGGATCACCGCCTGTCCCAGTGATGCACTCGCCACCACGGCCAGTGACAGTGAAGGACCAGCAAGATTGGAAGATTCCACCATGCATTTCAAATTGGAAAAATCCAAAGGGTTACACCATACCACTCGACAAGAGGTTGGCAGCTGATGGAAGGGGGCTGCAGGAGGTTCAAATTAATGATAACTTTGCAAAGCTCTCTGAAGCACTGTATGTGGCGGAGCAGAAGGCCAGGGAGGCAGTACAGATGCGATCCAAGGTGCAGAGGGAGCTGCAGCTGAAGGAGAAGGAGAGGAAGGAGCAAGAGCTAAGGGCACTTGCACAGAAGGCGCGCATGGAGAGGACTGGTGCCCCACCTGCACCTACAGGGGTTCCTGCTGGTGGTGGTAGAGGTGCTGTTGATGACAGGGAGGAAGATATGGATTTGGAGCAGCCTCGTGAGCAACGAAGGGAGAGTAGAGAAGAAAGGGAAGCAAGGATTGAGCGTGACAGGATTCGTGAGGAGAGGAGACGTGAGAGGGAGAGAGAGAGGAGGCTGGAGGCCAGGGATGCTGCAATGGGCAAGAAGAGTAAGCTCACTAGAGACAGGGATCGTGATGTCAGTGAGAAGATTGCCCTGGGCATGGCAAGCACTGGCGGTGCTAAAGGTGGGGAAGTCATGTATGACCAGAGGTTGTTCAACCAGGATAAAGGAATGGACTCTGGGTTTGCTACAGATGATCAGTATAACATCTACTCCAAGGGTCTCTTCACAGCGCAGCCAACGCTATCCACACTTTACAGGCCTAAGAAGGACGGTGATTCTGATGTGTATGGCGATGCAGATGAACAACTGGAGAAGGTTATGAAGACAGATAGGTTCAAACCAGACAAAGGATTTTCTGGTGCTTCAGAGAGGTCTGGAAAGAGAGACAGACCTGTGGAGTTTGATAAACAGGAGGAGAATGATCCCTTCGGTCTTGATCAGTTCTTGACTGAAGTGAAGAAGGGGAAGAAAGCTGTTGAGAAGATTGGAAGCGGAGGAGCCATGAGGGCAAGTGGTGGATCCTCAATGAGAGATGATTACGAGGGTGGAGGATCTGGGAGGTCCCGCATTAACTTTGAAAGAGGTCGTTGAGGTATTAGATCTGCATGTTTTGTTCAGAAGTTTCTCCATGCATTCCAAATGTTATCTGGAGGGTATTCTGTTGAGAATATCAACTTCTTGATGAGAGGACTTGATGTCTGAGTTGTCTTAATGCAACGTCTACTTCCAAGGGGCATCTTAAGGAGTGTACCTGTTTAGATCCTGTGATTATGCTTGTTGTTTATCTATTTGTGGATGGATCTGTAAGCTTAACTTATCATCATTCCATATCCCTTATATTTTGTGGTGCTTTATGAAGTCTCGATGTGTCTGGCTGACCTTACATTTTCTGGTACTGTACCAAGTCTTTAAGATGTATCTGCCTATCTGGCTGAAATACTGAGACACGGGATACATATAAATTCCGTGTTCTGTTTTTTCACAAGTTCTAATTATTTCATGCTACCATGATTGTTGGCTGGATGGATTTCTGGGTATTGCCAATATCGGTATGTTGTTTTGGGGATATTCATGTTTTGTGCAAATAGTGAATTCTTCGAAAATTTTTTGTCGGTAAGCATTTTCTGTTGCAAGACTTTGCCGGAGCATTCCCTTTGCTTGCAGTTGATGTGGTTTCTGTAGTACCAACTTTCGGATTAAATAACTTCTCTTTTGTGATTATTACTGGTAAGATCATGGCATAATTTTAAAACACTATCCATCCTAAAATAAATAAACTTAATACATGATATGATATATCTTAGTATTAGAATCTGAACAGATACACACTTTCAGTTTGTTTTGTCTTTTCCTTTAGTTATGTAGATTCAGCCATAGTGTTGTGTTTTTCTTCAGGTATGCAGATTCAGCTATAGGAAATTAGGAACACAGTGAAGAGGAAAGTTTTCATTAGCACGTTTTCTTGTGTGAAGCGCAAATAACAGGATTTTGGTGTTCTTTGATTTTGGCCAAAATCTTCATGGCATGGATGGAATTTTCTCAAAGCTGAAAACCGTAATTTTCTGACGGGCTGAGCAAATTACGCTGGCTGATAACTCCGGCCTGCTTAATGCCTAGGCCCAAACGAAGCAGCCGAGCAACCTTGAGGTTCCATCGGCACCCCTGTTCGGCTACAAAAAGCACCTCACTTTCTTCCTTGCTCATATCTGAGCCCAAGATCCTGATGCTACTCTTCCCAGTGACAAAGAGAACCTCGGTCTCTGACGAATTTTTTTCATTTTTAATTTTTTTCTTTTAATATTTACAGAAATAATCCATCGGCGCAAAAAATTACAAAAATAGACCCCTGCCGCCCTCCACTAGGGCGGCAAGCTGACGTGGCAAACGGGGGAGGGACGGGCGGTGACGGCAGACGGGAGAGGGAGGGTTTTTTTTGCACGAAAACCCTTGCCGCCCTCTGGCCCCCATGCAAAAAAGCCAGCCCGAGCCTAGTACTTTTTGGCTGGTACTTTTTACATCTGGGTCCCTTGCCGCCCTCTAATAAGACGGCAAGGGGCCTAGATGCAAAAAGTACCAGCCAAATGCTCTTTAGGGCTGTGAAAATTGCATTTAGCCCCTTGCCGCCCTTACAGAGAGCGGCAAGGGGCTAAATGCAATTTTCGCAGACGGCGGCAGACGGCGCCGTCGAGCCGCCGTCTGCCACGTTAGCTTGCCGCCCTCCATTAGAGCGGCAGGGTCTATTTTTGTAATTTTTTGTGCCAATAGATTATTTCTGTAAATATTAAAAGAAAAAAATTAAAAATGAAATAAATTCGTCTCTGACCTCACTCTGAACCCTTCTCCTTTTTTTTCAACGGCCAAACAAGATTGCTTTACGCTATATTGATAAAAGAAGTTTAAGTACAAAGTAAAAACTGAAAGAAAAAGGAAAAACTGTACATTACTGACTGCAAACTGCAAATATGCTTGCACGTCAGTCCACCTTATTCCTCATGGCAATAATCTCGTAAAGTATTTTGCGTCGGTCAACTCTAGCAACCCAACTTGTGATTGATTCTTACTCTGAACCCTTAACCCCCTCAATGCAGCCATGGCCGCTCGTAGCCGATCGATCGATCGAATCCAAAATCTCCCAAATTCAGCAGCTAAAATCAGGTTCACGTCACCATGCCGCTGCAGGAGATTCCGCACCAAAGGCAAAGAAAGAAACGTTCTTTGCTATCCAGCATATCATAGCAGCGTAGCCGTCGTCCTCGTCGTCCCCATCGATCCATGTCCTACGCGGTTATCAGGTTATCATGACACTGTTTGAATCGGAGAGCTTTGCATTCGCAACGCAAACCCAGTCGCCATCACCGAAACGAATGATCGAACTAGAGAGAGGAAGAGAGAGAAAGAGGTAGGTAAACAGATGGTTGGCACGGGCAGCGTGACGTGCACCGGTTTTCCCCCCGAGATTATATTCGGATTTGGTGTTCGCTTTATCATCGAGTACAACTGAATTGTCCCATCTTTTCTTACTACTAGCTTAAGCTGTTTTTAGGCTTCCTTTGATTCGAACAAAAATTATAGAAATTTTAAAGTATTTTATTTCTATAGAATTTTTTCATATATATAAACATTTGAATCAAATGAATGAATCCTATGAAATTTCTACGTGACCTTATTACATGCAAGTTTACATGGGAAGTTTTCTTTGAATATTTTATCTCTTCTCGAATTCATGTGTTTTTTCTACAGTCTAATTATAATCCTATGTTTTTTATATTCCTTTGCTTTTTCGTTCCTACAATTTAAAGAGTCTCAGTTGAACTGTTCGGTCTGTAACTCAGTACCGAGTCGGGTCTCATGGTGGATGGCGCTGTAGAATCAGTCGATCAAGCGAGGCGAGGCGACGGCGACCGAAAGGAAAGGCACACCGTGGTCAATGGATGGATGGACGGATCGATCTCGGCCGTCGCCGTCGCCGTCGCCTGTCACTCACCATAGCTTTTCCATCCGACGCAATGCACGCCGTTTCGCTGCGATCGATCGAGCGATCGATGGATGCATGCCCTGCCGGCCGTCTCGATCGGTTCTGAAATATCAACTTGCAAAGGCGATCGATCGATGCAGCTTACCTTTAGAATTGTCAAAACTGCATCAGCCGCTGCACGCATGGCTTGCCAATCGTCGTCTGCTATTATCTCCTAATCCTGACGAGTGGATGTGACGAAGTGTTAAAGGTGCACCGCCCCCCAAGTGAATATCTGATCAGTTTGGCTTTGGTTAAGAGGACCTAATTCCACGTCATTTTCTCGTCCCATTTCGGTAAACAACAATCAAATCAACACAGCATAACCGATTTGTTCTTCGAGATACCTGCCGGTGGGTACACGAACCTTTTCTTAATAAAGATAATAATGGGTACATGAACCTACTCCCGGCTTTAATTAATTTGCAGAATACAAACCTACCTTCTCGAGCCAGCCTGCCCTAGTGAGAAACCAACCCTTTCAAGACTTTACACGCAGCAAGATGTTACTGCAAATCTGCAATCCTAACTTCAGAATCACCAACTTGTTTCTGAACTGTAGCATATCATAGATATTCATCAATCACCATTCATTCATAGTACTACCTAGTGTACTACTATCACACAGTGCCATGCTACTCCGGTACTAGCTTCAAAAAGGAGTGGACAAGAATTCGCACTTAGCAGCAACAGTAGTGGCCAGTGGATGATTACTGATCCAACGAAATTTTCACAAGTTGGCCAGAAGAACAATTTGGACCTGAAAACAAAGAACCCTTTGGTCCCCAAATCCGGCTACGACGACGACGACAAACGAGAGCCAATCCAACACTCGTTGGCCGGATTCCATGCCGACATCACCGGAGATCTCAGGTCATCAACAAATGTCGCCTGGCGTACGTTCGTATGTATGTGCGGCACCTGTTGCGAAATGCCCAAAATCAACGTCAGATGCATATGGCTGTGATCCTGTGATCCACATGAGCCTCGTTGAAAGATGGTATAGTACTAAAGATATTGGTGGACTTTGGCACATGTATGATGAGAGCATTTATGGTTTGATTGATATATACTAGCTTGTGGCATGGGTGTTTATCATGGGTAGGCTGCTTGTCTCATTCCATGATTAATATCATTGTAGATGCTAAATGGAAGATAGTGACATTGTCACTTATACATCTGTGGTTATGTTTCATGTAGAGCGCTTGAATTTCACATGGAACAGTTCAATGAAAGGTGTGGAACTCTTGCAAAATTTATCCTATACTCACTAATAAATTTCCTGCAATTAAAATAAGCCCTTAACATCACTGTGTTAATAAACTCTTCTAATTTTTTTTTAAAAAAACATATGCATTATCAGACTTCCTTAATAAAATGGATGCTAGGTAGCCTCTTGATGAGATCTTTTAAAGGCATGTCACATTTGTTTTGATATTCATTCTGGCTTTTGTTTTGAAATATAGTTGAAGAAATGACAATTTATCCAGTTTGTGGCTTAAACCAAGGGGAATAATATCTCAGAGACTCAAATCTGCATTATTTTGTTTTAATTTGAGGCACACAAAGTTTTTCCTACTCCCCAACTGATTGGCTGGTTTGGAGTTGGAAGAAAAGGGGTGGATAGCATATTTGACAAGAAAATGCGGCTAGTTCATGCATGCAATCTTCAGGTTACATCCAAGGCTGACTTGCAAGATACTAATGAAGATAGATTAACAGTTGGCAAACACTACACAACGAAGTGACCCTTGACTTAACGCTAGCGGCGGATGCTTCCACGAAGTTTCTGCATAACAGTTCATGTTTTCTCAGGCCCAGACTGACTGATCACTGATATATCCTAGTATATCATCTCAATGTTACAAGTAACAACCACATTTTTTTTCAATCACTTTTTTTTTTTGCATCCAACAGAAGAGACCAGAGTTGTGTATGACTCATCCAATGCAACGGCAAAAGAAAGCTGTTAGGCCTAAGATGTTTTAGGTACACAGATGCTGCACAAAAAAACGTGCTCATGACCGCACGTTGCCTGCACAGCCAAGTGTCCAACGTGCATGTGAGCAAGGCATCAGCTGCTCACTGTCACGGTCCAGAGCACGTTACACAGGCTCTGAAACCTAACAAAACAATGCAATCACCAAACTTCCTTCGTCTCCTACCTTACTACTCTTCCCCTTCTAAACTATAGCAATTTCCCTTCTTAACTATAGCAACCAAATACTTTATAGAACATATTATAATATAGATTTGTAGTAGTAAGATGTGTCAGAACTATCCTATAACAATCTAATACTGGATAGAATATATTATAATTCAGATTCATAGTACTAATATGTATCAGGACTATTTGAATATGTAGTATTACTAAGACGTGTCATATCTAATATTAGGCTGCTATATTTTAAGAGAGAGATAATACTAGCATCCTAGGTTGGCAGGTAGGCGCACACCGTTTTTTTGGCAAAACTTCGTGACAAGTTCCTAATCCTACACAAAAGAAGTGGTTCCTTTGGCTGCTCGGTTTGCTGTACAATATACCTCTCCCCATGAAATCACAAACAAAACCAGACAAATGCAATTTAAGAGCTTAACCTTCCCGACAACATCTTAATGGTAGACACTGGGTTACACCATAAACAATGGTTAGCGTCATACTCCCAGAAAACACTCAAAGAAACCTGAGATCTACAAAGCTCTGGATCTACTACTACCTCACAAGACCATCTCTATCAAGATGGGCCATCACATCACCCCCTGATGCAGCTCATGATGCAGGGAGAAAGGCGGCTTAAACTCGAGCCTGAAAAAACAAATGCAAGATGCACTGACCCTGGGAAGCAAATCACATGGTTGCCAGCCTCTCAAGAGATCTAAAGTGTAGGTTTAAATGACCATGATAAAAAAGACACCCTGTTTTTTTGTTAATTATTGGGGACAACTTAGGGTTCTGGGACACTACACAACAGTAGTGGTTAGCACGCAGATGGAAGATGATGCGCAACAGGCGGTACATGCGACAATGGGATTCCTCACATGAGGCTGGCTGGCCATGAGTAACTGATAGCTTTCTCTTCACTTGCGAGTAGTAGTTGCTAGCTTGCTCTCAGTGTCTCATTGAGCTGGGTGCTTTGAGGCTTCACTCCCTCCAGGATCCTGAAAGATGCAGAGGAAAAGGGAAGGATAAAAAGCAAATAGGAATCAGGCAGTTGATGTCATGAAAGATCTAAATGGAACAAGGACGACTTCTGAGATCAAATCATTAGTAGGGCCTGTCCTTATGATGACAATGCACAGCCTAGGGCATTTATTATTGTAGTAGCAGCAGCAATTGAGCAGTCATGGTCAAAGTAACATGATCATGGCAATGGAACAGTGATAGGCTGAATGGCTGATAGAGACAGGCAACAAATTAATGCATTAAATTTCAATTCCTCCAATAGCTTCTTGATTCATAACAGCGACGTGACCAAGTAAAAGGGGGGTAAAATGGACTACAAAAATAACTCAAGAGAGAACCCCAAAAAAATGAAAAAGGAAACAATTATCATAGTTGAGTTTTGAGATCTAAAACATAAGGCAACGGATGATGGAATATTGGAGCATTGCCATTCCTTCGTCTGAGCAGATCAAAAGATGGCTAATCTAACCCTGCTGATTGGAATCAGTTCCTACTCTTCATCTAACAGTAAAATGGTAGGCATCAGTCGAGTCACAGCAAGGAAAAGAAGGATCCCCATCAGGCATCAGGTAGCTCACTCGACGAACTTCTCCTCAGCAACAATACATACATCAAGAAGAGCCTCATATGCCTCATTGTCAGCAAAGAAAAGAACAATTTGGAGATCCGCATAATCGAAGTTCCCCACGACATTTGAAAATCATCTGCGGGAAGCTTCTGTGTCTGATTCTGATAGACTGATCAGGGTTCAGGAATACAATAGCAATGATAAGGTTTAATAGAACAAACTTGTTTTGTGAGTACAACAAACTTCTTCCTGTAGCAGTACTACAAGATGTTGACAAATGAAGGTGCATCATTCCTTGCTCCTGCCAGTGATCGATACAAGTACAGTTTATCAACAGTCTCCATCTCCCCTTCATCATCAAGATGATCCTTCATCACTTCAACCACCAAGTCAGGCATTTGCTGAGCTACATCTCTACAACCCCTCATGGTTAGCCTGCATGAATTCATCCATAAGAACCTCATGTTGTAAAAATAGCTCAGGCCAGAGAGCAATCCCTTATCACTAAAAGGACTATCTCTGACCTCAAGCTTTTGCAACCTAGTGCATCCTTCAAACACAGATTGGAGAGACATGTCACTATTTCCAGCGAAGGCAACAGACAGTGTCTTTATTAGTTTCCCATATTTTCCAATGTATGCAAACGCCTTATCAGTGAGCAGACCAGAGACTGAAAGTCTAGTGAGCTTCTTGCAGTTCATCACAATTGCCCCAAAACCATCATCCATGGGCTCCCCAGTGATCCGATCAGGGCGGTGTCGCCCCATAATACAAAGACGGAATGTTACCAGGTCAGAACAGTTCTTGGACATAGCAATTACTGCTGCATTTGTCATGCGCTGGCAAAAGTAGAGAATTGATTCAAGCTTCCGGCACCCTTCCGAGATTGCCTGAAGACCAACATCTGAAACCGATCCCTCAGAATCCTCAGTGGCATCGAAAGGAAAAACTCGCAGCTCACGAAGATCTGAGCATGTCTCAGCCACAGCCCGAAGGCCTTCATCACCCACTGTATCTAGAACCTAGAATAAGAAATTCGAACAAAAACATCTAAGTTGACGTACATACATCAATATTTATTCTCATTCACAAAAGATAAATCTATATTTATGCATTGGGAATGAGAAGGCTGACAAGATAATTACCCAGAAAGTGCGAAGACGGACGCAGTTGCGAATAATCGGTGTGAGCTCCTCAGCAGTTAGGTTTGCAAAGCTAAAATTAAGGGAAGTGAGATTAGCGCAGACTGGGTGGATTGCTGGGAGGTATTCTGGATTGACATCCCGGAAACCTGACAAACAAATCAGAGACCTAGATGCCGCAAAAGATGTAGCAAGCTCAGTAACAGACAGAGCACCACCAGGGCCTGGCTCAGAACGGAATGCACCAGTACCAAGGTGTGTGAGCTGGGGAGCCCTTGCCATTAGACGGCGCAATTGCTCTACTGTCACATGGTGATTCATTCGCAACCGGCGCATAGCTGGTGAGCGTGCAACAAGCGCCTCCAGGGCCTCAAAGTTGAATGGGACACTAACACAATCAAACACAAGTGACTCCAGCGACGTGTTGGACTCCGGGAACTTGGAGATCCAATCCACTAGCTCATCCTCCTCCTCGTCAATATAGTCTTCAATCAGATCCAGCACACGGAGATGCCTAAAAATGAATTGTGCAAAACCATGAGATACCGCATTTCAGTGACATAAACCTATTTTAATTGAGGAAAAGCAGAAGAGACACCAATTTTTAATGTGAAATGTCTCACTCTATCCCACTTTGGGATGGTCATGCTTATTTACTAGAACTGCTCCACACCCAGACCAAACAAGAAAAGGAAAAACTTTGCAGCTAGTAACTCGGAGACTTGCCACTCCAAGATTCGATTGTGACACTAACAAGTGTCGGACACTTAGTGATTAGATCGTCAAGAACAATAAAGATCTAATTTCGACAGGAGACGTGTAGCGATGAGAAACCAACACGGCCATAAAAGCTCTCCCAAAATCAGATTCTGATGCATGGCAGAATCGGACCAATAAAACTAAAAAGCGTAAAGACTGCGTGCACATTAAATAAAAAGCAGAATTGCACGATGCAGCTAAGCATTGATCAAATGCACCAATGATAGTATGATATCCTTGGCTAGCTGCGGCACTTAGATTCAGCCGGGATGCATCATCCAAAACAGACGAGAGCTTTATACAGAAGCGTACCGGCACCGCTCGGCGATGGCGGCGAGGCCTAGCGTGCTGAACCCATCGCAGCACACCAGCGACAGCTCCTTGAACAGCGGGAATGACTTGGCGATGAGCGCGAGGTCGTCGTTGGAGACGGTCATGCGCTTGAGGCAGATGCGCTCGAGGTGCGGGTAGGCGGGGCCGAGCGCGGCGACCCAGGGGGAGACGTAGGCGCCCCAGCCGTAGGGCACGAGGCTGAAGTCCGCGAACCGCGGCTTCCCCTTGAGCACCACGGCGCGCACCCCTCCGAACCGCTCCACGGCGCGGCGCGGCGACACCGCGTAGCAGTTGCCGATGAACAGCTCCCGCCGCGTCTGCGCCTCGGCGCGGTACCACGACCGGCACACCAGCGACGCCGCGTTCCGGTCCCGCGCCGCCGTCAGGAACTCCAGCACGCTCTCCAGCACGTTCTCCAGCACCTGGTCCGGCGGCGCCCACCTCCCTCCCCCTCCGCCTCCTCCGCCGCCGCCGCCGTTCCCTCCCCTCAGATCCGGCATCCACCTGTCCCCGCCTCCCCCTCCCCCGTCCCCGTCCCCGTCCCCGTCCCCGCTCCCTCCTGACCCATCCTCCGACATCTCCGACGGCGGCGAGTCCGACCCCTCCCCCGCATCGCGCATCCCGGAGGATGAGGAGGAGGAGGAGGTGGAGGCTAGGGTTAGGGATTGGGGGATCGGCGAGGAGGAGGAGCAGGAGGGGGAAGTGCTCATGTGACACTGCGGAAAAAGGATTAAATAATGATTAGATCTGAGCAGCGAGCTGGACTGGGACTGAGCGAACAAAAAAGCCTTTTTATTCTCTCTCTCTCTCTCTCTCACTCCCTCCCAATTTTTTTTCTCCTTTTCTTCGCTTCAGTTTTGGGCTTGTTGGGAGCAAGAATGGATGGATGGTGCCCGGAGGAAGAAAGAAAAGGAACAGGACGAATGCACATTGACCATCACAATTCACACTACTGTGATGGGAGAAAATGACATGGAGTAGCAGCAGCAGTAGTTCATGTAGTATCATAGCATAGCAATATCATAGCAATGGCTTGTTTCTTTCTTCTCTCGGCATGGAGCCATCAAGATTTGCATCTGTTTCGGCAGGTTTGGTAAAACTGGGAGTGATTAAAGTTGTGGATGTTAATGTGTGGTGCTAGTAGTAGTAATTAGTTTAGGCTCCAGTTTTATCAAAGTGTAACGACTTGCCTCATGTAGAGTGCCTACAAATTTAGATGTTGTGTTTTATGCGAGGGAGGTAAGCTTAAACACAGGAATATTGTGTGCAGTAACTAAATCTTGGAATATCAGGTGCATGGCTATAAGCAAATTTTGGGGATGAAATAACCATGCCAATTTCAAGGGGAATACTAGAATAGTAATAATGCTTTTAACTATCGGTGTACTTTTCTTAAAATAATACTGATGCTTAGCGCGCGAATGACCTCCTAGAGGTGAAAGAATTTTGTGGGAATTGACCCATGTAAAAATTCATGAGTTCCAAAGAAACATATTTTATTTAAATACTATATGAAATTCAGAAGCAAATAATTTACATACTACTAGATTCTAAAGAAGATAGCCCAGGTTAAGGGATTAAATACCTTAAACATCAGCTTAGCAGTTTATTTAAGGCAATTAATCCTACTAATCTTTAAGCCTAAACCTAGAGAGCTCGTATCCATCCAATAGGTCCAGATCAGCCTACTTAAGTAGGGACCATCTTTGATACGTGAGTCTCCTCTTTTTCACTTGCTTAGGTTGTGTTTAGTTTTTTTTTTAAAGTTTTTAAATATATGGACACATATTTGAAGTATTAAACGTATATTAATAACAAAACAAATTACAAATTACGCCTGTAAACTGTGAGATGAATTTATTAAGCCTAAATAATTCGTCGTTAGCAAATGTTTACTATAGCATCACATTATCAAATCATTGTGTAATTAGGCTCAAAAGACTCGTGTCGTAATTTACATGCAAACTGTACAATTGTTTTTTTTTTCTACAGTTTAATATCCTATACATGTGTCCAAACATTTGATGTGGCATTCTTAGCTAAATTATTTTTATCTAAACAAGGCCTTACTCCGTATTCTCTCTAACTACAGTGCCAACCTCTACCGCCTGGACCCTGGAGGCCTAGAGCTTGTGATTGTAATCTAGGGCTGTGTTTAGTTCACACAAAAATTAGAAATTTGGTTGAAATTGGAACGATATGACAGAAAAGTTAAAAGTTTATGTGTGTAGAAAAGTTTTGTTGTGATGAAAAAGTTGGAAGTTTGAAAAAAAAACTTGGAAACTAAACACGGTGCTACTTAACGAACCAAGTGTCTGTCCTCGCATTGAATTCTACATCTTTGATCTGCATAATGCAGTAATGTCCTCGCATCGGACCTTGTCATGGCAATCCGCATCGCAAAATATCACTACGTCTGCAGTATGCTCTTGCAACTTTACAAGCCTATTCCGCGCACACACAATTGTTCCTCGTTGCCTCAAACCATGTGTGTTTGATTTCTCAAGCAAGTCCTTTGTTATAATCCGTCATATATATTTTTTGCGAGGGTTATAATCCGTCATTGTAACCTTGAACATTGCTTTATACGATATATCATACTTCCTCAATTTCACAATGTAAGACTTTCTAGCATTATTCACATTCATTTAGATGCTAATGAATCTAAACATATGTATCATGGTGGTGTTTGAATTTCCTGAGGATGAAGATAAAGATTAAGTGTTTCACGTAAAACGAGGTGGTAATAACGTGTGACTAATTGGGTTTTAAATATTATAAACTTGAAAAATATATTAATTTGATATTTTAGAACAACTTTCATATAGAAAGTTTTTGCACGATACACACCGTTTAGCAGTTTGAAAAGTATGTCACTAGTATCCAAATTTTCATCCACTTCTTACATTAGAAACGAACGGGGTTATGTGTTTAGATTCATTAACATATAGATGTATATGGGCAACGGAGGGAGCAATGACTCCTCACGACTACTATGAACGATGTTATCTGGAGGGTGCCAACAGTTGCCAAGCCTCCTCAATAGGAGTTGCGACGATCAATTCGTCGGAACTTAGTACCCCTCTCATGCAACGAGTACCTTATCATTAAGGTGGTACTTATACTCAACGAGCATCAATGGTAGTGTTTCGACACGGTAGCGACGTAGATTTGACATCAAAATCAAATACGGTGATTATCTCCCTCCAAGGATAAAACCACCTTTCATGGAGCCAGAGAAGAAGCTAAGGGTCTATTTAGTTCTCGAACAAAAATTTTTAACGTGTCACATTAAATATATGGACACACATTTTAAATATTAAATATAGACTAATAATAAAACAAATTACAGATTCCACTTGGAAACTGCGAGACGAATTTATTAAGCCTGATTAATCCATCATTAGTAAATGTTTAATGTAGCACCACATTATCAAATCATAACGCAATTAGGTTTAAAAGATTTGTCTCATAATTTACACGGAATATATATAATTAGTTTTTTTTCATATTTAATAATTAATGCATGTGTACAGATATTCGATTTAATAAGGTGAATTTTTTTAAAAAAAACTAAACAGGCCTAAGCTGCAACTTCGCAATGTCTCATAATTGTTTTATCTCAGTCTCATTTTACCGAATTATTCCTTGCTCCCAACACAAGAAATACAGTACTAAGTACCCACATAGGCTAATTAGAGTAGAGCCTACTGCTTGCAAAGTTTGAAGGCTGGTCCGGCTTTTCAACAGGGACGTGTCACACACCCGAGCAGTCAATTGCTTTCATTGCTTAACCGCCCACACTATTGCAGAGATTCACAAAGCATGGCCGCTCCTGCTGCCTCACCCCCACATGCAACGCCTCACTGTACAACCGCGCCGCCGAGGCACCGACCGACAGCCGGGCCCCGCGCCACGAACGCTTCGCTACGCAACAAGCCGAGCAAAGCCAAGCGCGGCGCGACGCGACCCAACTGGACTTCTCGTGCGCTCGCTTTCCTCTGCCTCCCCCCACCCCCCGACGTGTCCACCTGCCAACCAAAGTTTCCCCCGTTCGGCGAGGCGGTGAGTGCAAAGTTTCGGCGTCGTCGTCGTCGTCGTCGAAAGGGCTCGCGCGCACAACGGCTCCACACCAACAAGGGCAGTCAAACTTGCGTGGTAGCGTAGTCATCCCAGTCGGTGGTTTGTTGTCCTCCTCATTAATCTTCCGGTTGATCTGTGCGGCGTGCAACTCGTTGTGTTTGTTCTTGAGGTCTTTCTGAGTGGAACATCTCTTGGTTCTTGTTGTTGATGGTGCAATATAGAAACGGTAATGCTGCACGATCCTGCTTCATTACCGCCGCGAATCCTGATAAGAGAGACAGTGAGTAAGAGCAGGTACAATAGCAGATTATTAACCAGATTATTAACCAGCTATAAATATATTTTAATGATATAAAGATGAAAGAGAAAAGCAGCGGACTACAAATCTGTAGCCAGCTGCAGCACGGACTCCAAGAGACAGTGTGTGTATGACAGATGGGACCATATATTAATAGTATAGTAAGCAACTATTGTATGAATTGGCTATTAGATTGGCTACAGATGAATTGGAGCTAGTAGAGCAAGGATAATAGTAGAGCTCACTTCATACTATTAGCCCATCTTAAAGCCAACATATATAATGGATTAGCTATAAGGTTGGCTACAACTTTCTTTTTCTCTCTCTATCTCTCACATATGCATTTAATGTATTTAACTAGGAGCTTGTGTTAAACTAGTTCTTGCATGAAAGCCAATATGCTTGATTTTTTGTTATCTCTAACTCATTATTATACTTACTCATAGTAGGCTATACTATTAAACTTGCTCTAAAATTCAATACTCTCGATTCCTCGGCGATCGCGCCAAAAACGCGACAGCCAAAGCCCAAAGGAAAAGAAGACACACCGTGTTGATGACAGTACACTGTAGCAGTGTAGCATCAGATATCTACACATGGCTCAAATAATCATGCAACGCATGGGATGGTAAAACTGGAGAAGTGGATATCACTTCGCACAGATACGAAGACACACCGTGTCGATGACAGTACACTGTAGCAGTGTAGCATCAGATGTCTACACATGGCTCAAATAATCATGCAACGCATGGGATAGTAAAACTGGAGAAGTGGATATCACTTCGCAAAGATACTAGGACCAGCCGTATTTTACCTCGGAACTCATGAAAACTCGTCGGCACCCGGACGCAGTCGCCTATTTGCTCACGAGGCCTCAACTTCAGAGGGTTTCGTGGTTTCGTCTGTACCGCACGGTGTATGGTATCCGAAGTGCTCGGTCGCATATATTCTGCACGAACATTCAGATTTCCCAGTTAGTAGGAAGCATGAATAGAAAAACGTTAGACGGAAGGATGCAGGAATGGGGCAAAACAGAGGAACATAAGACACATAAAGATCAGTTCAAAACACAGGAAAGAAATATTGGATTAGAAATCAGGTCCATTTGTACATTTGCTTCGTATGGAAAAAGCTTTCCATGAGATCTGAGCTCATTTTTATTTGCCTCTCAGATCAAACATTAGGAAGCAATCCATTGTTCCAAACAATGGATATGCAAAATAGATTCAATCCAATCCAAACGAGGCCTTATCCCAGGCCTAGATTACAGGTCACGTCCTAGTCCCTCCATAAGTTTTCAGCCAAGTTCCATTCTTTTTTTCTTTTGTGCAAATCTGTCTCTGGTTAGTCTCTCCTAACAAAATTCAAACGAGATGCCCCTTCAGAAGAAAAAAAATCTAAATCGAGATAACCTTAGTAAGAGACAAAACATACTAGATGATATGAGTATATGACTTGTCTTTTCGGTTCCAGTTTAAAAACTGTTAATCATCTCCTGTTTGAGTGCAGTATAGTGAAGCAGCTCTATAGTGATCTTTCTGGTATTGTAAATGTGGTAGTAGGCTAGTAGCAGAAAACATTTATTTCTTTGCAAGCTAATGATGGATTAGTGATTCTAGGAAATGGATGAAGAACAATGGCATGAAGAGGAGCAGTTTAAGTCTGAGCTGAAATGTCGAGCCACTAAATTTTCCTGGCACTCACAAACAAGCAAGTTGCAAAGTCTACCCATTGTCCTCCCTAGAGAGGTTGTAATTGGGAATATAAGTTGTTGAACGGTGCATTACTGGAATGTAAAACGTGAAAAATTCCTTGGCAAAGAATGATGTTGCTTCTTTTCATGTGAAACTGGAGTAGGGGTTTCCTCCCCTGGTTCCAAAAAGAGATAATCCCTTATATACCACTGAAAATTGGTCTGATTCCTTATATACCATTGAAAATTGGCTCTTCCCTTATATGCCATTGGTCTAAATTTGCGCACCCTCTCATGCCACTCCCATCAGTTGACTGTGTGTTGACCGTTAAATCCAAAGTAAAAAAGACGTATTTGCCCTTCTGGGTATAGGACATGCCTAACAACTTAGAAGGGCAAATATTTCTTTTTTATTTTAGACTTAACGGTCAACACACAGTCAACTGACGGTAATGGCATGAGAGGGTGCGCAAATTTGAACTAATGGCATATAGGGGAAGAGCCAATTTTTAGTGGCATATAAAGGATCAAACCAATTTTCAATGGCATATAAGGAATTCTCTCTTCAAAAAAAGAGAGGGCCGGTTCTGTTTGTCACCTATAGGTACCAGCCAGTAAATGCTTGGTTTGAAACTTCACGTTATGAAATAAAGTGAACCTATTGAGTTTGAAATGTGTCATCCACAGCAAAGTGTGATGCATGGCAAATTTCTTTGGCCAGTCCTTTGGTATGTTTTCCAATTTACAATCTCTATAACCATGCGTGGGTTTTACTAGATTAGCATCTTCTACTGCAGGGACTAGACACAACTAGCAACAATTTTTTATATGCTGCGGTGTGCAAACTAAATACACTAAAATTCGGTGGTGGATAACTGTGGATACCAGTCAAATTACCAAACTTAGTATCACCTTTCTGTCAGGAGCATACTGCGGCTTACTAGTATTTTTACCATACTACTACACGACCAGAAATGCAGATGTGCTGTGTCTGCATAAAATAATTACACACATTCCTCTTTTATCTCCAATGAACTTGATGGGTATGGCTATAAATGAATCAAATGATTCTACCTGTGACAAGCTGTCAGTCACATGTCCCCCGAGAAGTTGAGCTCACGAATTGTAGGAAACATGTACATGGAGCCAAGATAGGTGTGTGAAATTGCATGCTTGACGCAAAGAAATTGAGTGTTACGCTTTTCTATTCCGGCTCGAAGCATATGCATAGCTTCTATGTTACTCCCTCCATTTCGAAATGTTTGACACCGTTGACTTTTTAGCACATGTTTGACCGTTCGTCTTATTCAAAAAATTTTATGAAATATGTAAAATTATATGCCTACATAAAAATATATTTAACAATGAATCAAATGATAGGAAAAGAATTAATAATTACTTAAATTTTTTGAATAAGACGAGCGGTCAAACATATACTAAAAAGTCAACGGCGTCAAACATTTCGAAACGGAGGAAGTATGTTTTAGCATGAAGAAAAAAAGGATTCAGCATGAACAAGATCCCGTGCAGCCAATGTTTCTCTTGCTGGTTAGCAGGTGGATGAGCTAATCGGGCATGGTGCATAAGCCTGGTGTACTTTCTACATTCTGGGGTGGGAGTTACCTTGTGATATTAAAGCGCTCACAGGCTCACAGCACTAGTTTTCTTTAGGCAAAACATGCAGTTCAGGAAGTTTTTCCACTGATCTGTGTGTGGACATCCATCAACCAGCTTGTAAAAGTAAACTGTGTTTTAGCATAAAGATAGCTTTTGATTAGCATAAATCAAACTAGAAAGCAAATGACTGAAAGTGAATGCCCTTGTATTGTACTCCCTCCGTTTCACCATGTAAGACTTTCTAGTACTGCCCATATTCATATAGATGTTAATGAATTTAGACACGCATATATGTCTAGATTCATTAACATCTATATGAATATGGGCAATACTAGAAAGTCTTACATTGTGAAACGGAGGGAGTAAGTAAAGAACTTTTTATAATGTTTAGGTAATGTTCTGCCATGATCTAACTAAATATGAATATCATACTCTATAAAGCGCATATATCACAAATAAGTGAAATTTGCAGTATGAAACATCATAGACACTAGCTAGCAAACCTTCTGACCTCATTATTAAAACTAGTTACTGACTTACTGCTTTAGAATTCTCCTGGTCAACTTTTTACTTATATCCTGGCTCGGATTCAAGTTCCCATTACACTCCTGCTTACAGCCTAGATAGGGATAACATACCTGAATTAGTTACTCAAACCCAGTAGAAACTGTCCATCCTGATTTTTTTTTCTAAGAAAGAAACTTCTCCCATTTCAGTAATGAAATGATAGTAGTTCTACAAGCATTCCAGGTTCCTCCATCCTGATATTTAATAAGCTTATGTATATAGACGTTCCAAACATAATATGGAAAACATACAGCCCTTAGCATATGATGTTTATTAGTATCACCGCTCTGGTATTCTTACTTTTTCAGGAATCAAGATTTATTATGATCATTCAGTGAGCTTGTAATAATATTGCTAATCAACACTCTTTCTGTGATATCTATAACAAATAAATGGCATCACATGTGTTTTATCAGAGACCAATAATGAGTGGGAAACAAAAAGGAAAATCACTACATTGGATCAGCTGCATACTTATCATTAAACAGGTTAGGTCATAAATGAAATGTACATTAAGCTGATGGCATCTCTGACAGGCAGTGAACTGATGTTTGGGGTGGTTGGATATCCTTTTTGTTACGAATTCACTTTGAGGTTGCTTCCCATAATGATTGAAAAGCTATGTATTAGTTTGATTTCCACGGCTATCAGAGACGATTTTTCATGGTGAAACTGGGATCATATCCTTCCTGCAGAACTAAGGAAATCATAAGGTCTACATGTGAGGGTTGCCACTTGCCAAACAAATGCTACCAGGAAATGCAGGTAAGATAAGAACAATTGATTGAAATATTTTTGTTTGCTTCGCCAATTTAGCCATTATTATGCTGATTGCACGAAACAAACACACTGCAAAGTGTTGGAGCTACCAAAAATGTAACTAATTGTGCTTTTCTATGTTGAAGGTACATAAGAGTGATGTTGTGTTGCTATTAGCTACATGCAAGTTTCTATTCAAGTATGCAACCAGCAGTCAAAGCATTTCACAGATGCAACTTACTCCTAGACAAATTGGTAAAATAACACTGAACCTATATAGGACCCAGGAAATATTTTAATACATTTGCAAGTGACAACCAATTGCTGCAATAATAAACCAATAATTAGCTAACCTCATATAAACTCCTGATCATCTGCACTAACAAGAAATCTCGAAATATTCATTTCCTTCTCAGACCTATGCTCTTCTTCTTCTGTGTGATTGCAAAACGCCTAGACATTGCAACATTGTAAAATCTCCTCATATGCTCTGACAACCGATGTATCGCGCCAAGGTTGCCTACAGCTGATAGCCGCAACATGATAGCATCAAACTTCTTGTACGAAAGTTTCATGCCACGGTTTATTACCTCATCTAGAAGAGCGGTCGCATCTTCCGTTCTTCCAGAATCAAACAGCCCATCAATCATTGTTTCGTAGGTATCAACAGCGCGATGGCATCCTCTCTTGTCCATCTCGATCCAAATATTGATTGCCCTATCTGGCTCTCTCATCTCAAAGAACATCACCATCAGCATATTATATGTATGAACACTAGGCTCACAATGCGCCTCTATCATCCTTTCACAGAGTTCAAGCGCGTCATCAGCCTTTTGAAGACCACAAAGCACCTTCAGAAAGCAATTGTAAGTGACAATGTCAGGGGGAAAGCCAGCCTTTGCCATCTCATCTAAAACACAATAAGCAGCATCCAGTTTATCCACCAACAACATGCCTTCAATCAAGTCTTTATATGTCGACACATCAGGCATACAGCCGCACTTTCTCATTTCTGAAATCAGTTCAAAGCACTCCTCCATCTGACCAGCCTTTGCTAGCGCCGCAATCATAATCGAGTATGTCTTAGCCGTGGGCGATGAAATTGTAGACCCCTCTGTTCTCATGAACTCAAACAAATCCCTTGCCTCTGAGACCAAACCAGCACTGCAAAATGAGTCAATGGCAGCATTGTAAGTGAAGTTCTCAGGGGTGTGCTTCATCTGAATCATTTCCTCGAGCACCTTCATGGCCCTCTTGGGGTCCCTTGCCCGGCACCACCCGAAGAACAGGATACTGTATGTCTCGGCATTCCCCAGCAGCTTCCTCTTCACGCGGCTGAACACCACCTCCGCCTCCCGGACCATCCCGCACTTGCAGAAGGCGTCCAGCAGCACGTTCAGAGCGTCGGTCTCCGGCGGCGTGCGCATCCGCACCCGCCGCTTCTTAGCCAGCTTCCTGAGATGCGTGAGGTGCTTCTCCGTGTATGCGCGCAGGATACCCAGCAAGTCGTCGACCGGCACGGACCTTGTGCGGCGGCGCTTCATGTGGTCGAGCACGTCGCAGAGGACGCCGAACTGGCGGGCCTTGTACCGCGTGCCGGAGAGGATGTCGATGACGTCGTTGTACGTCGCGGCCTCGTGCTCGTAGCCGTCCTGGTGAGACGCCCAGACGAAGAACCGGAAGGCCAGCTTCTCGTCGTAACGGAGGCGATGCAGCACGTCGGCGACGAGCGGGGTGGTCAGCTCGGCGCCCAGCGCGTCAAGGGCCGCCTCCGTGCCCTCGCTGGAACCCGCCGCGGTCTCAATCACGGCGTCGTAGATCCTATCCGAGAGAGCCGCGAACCGCTCGTCCTGGAGGTTTGTGGGGAGGACGACGTGCGTGGTGGAGCAGAGCCGTCGAGCCTGGAGGGTCGGGAGATGCAGCTGCCGCGGCGGTGGCGGCACCGAAGTGGGGTTTAGCCGTGGGGAGGAGCGGTTAGCGGAGTGCGCGGCCGCGAGCGAGGAAAGGGGTGCGACCGCGAGAAGGCGGCGGAGGTGGCGGAGCCGGAGGGCGAGGTGGCGGCAGTTCATGTGGCCGTGGAGCGTCAGAACGGCGGCGCGCCGCGGCCGGCGGCGGTGGGGGGACTCGCGTTGCGGCGGAGGTGCGCCTGAGAAATCGCGTGGCCAACGGACCGATGACTGGGCCGTCCGAATGGCCCATCAAAATTGGATAGCTGATCCAATCGGAGGTCTGGCCTGTTCAGATCCCGTTCAGTTCAGCACTTCAGCTACTTCTATAATAACGTTATAACACACTAACTCCTAAATCTTAACATGCAAATATATCAAATCATCATCTACTAACAAGCTGACACATTATCATCCACTGACAATCATTATATTTAAACATTATACAAACATACTATACTATCTATAATTTGAAATTTATAAAATTTTAGAGCTTTTAAAATAAAAGCACGTTAAATCATCATCTTTCATAATTCACATAATATTTCAATATATGTTTTCATTATTTTTTATAATATCCTATGTATCTATATAGATCATCCTTACTTGGTTAATGTTATTTCTCTCTTCTCTTATTAAGTCATATTGCATCATTTTTTTAGTGCTTAAACGATTAATCTACTATCCAAATTATATCTCTAATTTTCTTCTCTCATTAAGCCATATCGTCACAATTGTTTTTAGCTTTTAGATGATTAATCTACGGTTCAAACCATTTCACTACTTTTCTTCTCTCATAAAATCATATCACCTTACTTTTACATTTGAACCATCTTTCTATATACCATTTACATTAAAATTATCATAAATCATGTTAACTTACATAATCTTATATTATCTAGCTATTTTACATATTATTTTTACTTATCTATTATATTATTAAAGGAATAGAAAAAGGAGCCTCCACGTTCGCTCTCATGGCCTAGAAATTCTCACATTAATCGGAGAAAAATAAAAGGCAGAGTCCATATAGAAATACAATTAGGAAATAGTTGAAATTAGGAATTAAAAATAAGGAATATTAGAAGAGGAGACTAGAGTCCATATATAAATACAATCGGAGAAAAATAAAAGGCAGAGTCCATATAGAAATACAATTAGGAAATAGTTGAAATTAGGAATTAAAAATAAGGAATATTAGAAGAGGAGACTAGAGTCCATATATAAATACAATTAGGAAATAACTGAAATTTGGAATTAAAAATAAAGAATATTAGAAGTAGAGTATAGAGTCCATATAGAAATACAATTAGGAAATAACTGAAATTCGGAATTAAAAAAAAGAATATTAGAAGTAGAGTATAGAGTCCATATAGAAATACAATTAGGAAATAATAGAAATTCAGAATTAAAAATAAGGAATATTTGAAGTAGAGTATAGAGTCCATATAGAAATACAATTAAGAAAAAATAGAAATACAGAATTAAAAAACAAGGAATATTAGAAGTAGAGTATAGAGTCCACATAGGAATTTAAAACTAACTAAAATTCGGAAAAAACATAATAAAATTAAAAAGTGGAGTTTAGAGTCCGTATAAAAATACAATTTACAAAAAACTAAAATTCGTGATTAAGAAAAACATGGGAAGAAAAGCTTAAAGTCAATATAGGAATACAACTTAGAAGTAAATGAAATTCGAAATTAAAAATTAAAGAATATTGAAAGATGAGTTTAGAGTCCACATAGAAATACAATTAGAAATAACAAAAATTTAGAAATAAAACTAAATATTATTGGAAGAAGAGCCTAGAGTCTATATATAAATACAATTTACAGATAATTCGGAATTAAAAAAAGAAATATTAAAAGATGAGTCTAGAGTCCATATAGGAATATATATAATTCACAAATAACTAAAATTTTATGTTAAAAATAATTAATAACTAACACGTTGTCACGCCCAGAAATTCACTAGTAATTTCCGAACTAATTTGTGCATAGAACCCTCGTCCAGGAATCAGCTGAGGTACACAAACTGACAATTTAATATACAGAATCATCAATAATAGTGTTACATACTTACAAAAGAAAAGAAAACTGCAGCGGAATATAAAATCTAGCGAAGCTCCGGCTCCACTCCCACAGGCAGCTCAACTGGGGTATAAGCCAAACGTCTTCTCCTTCTGGATCCTTTTTCTTCAACTGAGGTTGATTGATTATTGCAAGAATGAGCATATGACATACTCAACAAGCCACACAGCAAATATGCAAGTGCACAAGGATACCAAAGGATGGCATAATATAGGCTCATTTGCAAAAGCAGCATTTAGCAAAACATTTAAGAGAAGTAAAACAGTGGAGTAATTAATCAGAAATTTTAATCAACACTGAACAGCACACCCATGCTGCACAGGCCCAACCATCCTGAACAACCATACCCGGCTGTACAGATCTAACTCCAAACCAGGAGCTAAGCAAATTATTACCAGGTATAACATCCATAATTATTGTGAGAGGTGTGAGACTAATCACGAAAAACATTGCTCAACCCGCCCATGACCGCGGGCACGGCTATTCGAATAGTTTTACTCTGGCCAGAGGTGTACCACTGTATCCACAAGACACAGCCTCATCAACATGTCTACCATGCGTCGCGATACTGGAAAGTACCCGAATAGAGGCTGTGACAATACCCTTTGCACAACACAACTCACCACAGTGCACCATTCCTGGATCATAATCACCCCCTCTATAAATATAACCAGAGGCATGAACTCCCCAGCGACCCCCACGGACTTCTCGCCGCTTCTCAGTCTGGTGCCCCGCAATGAATCATGCTATACAGAAGGTAAAGCCGTTGCCCATGCTGGCTTGTGGTTGGTACGGTTAATGTTTCACAACAGTAGCTCGTGAACTGGTCCTTAATTGTCATGAGCACGACCTTCAAAACCATGTGCTCACAACCCACCATTGTCAAGTTTTAGTTATCAATTAATTATCATAACACGATTAAACATCGTGAGCTACCATTAAATATAATCATAAGTGATAGTGTAACATTAGTTATCCTAATTATGTGATAATGTTTCTAAGCATGGCTAAGCAATTATATATATATATATAGCATTTAGCTGAACCAAACCAATATATAAGGTTCAAGCTAATCAATTTGTTACCCAAGGTATCAAGGAATAAAGTAATCAATGCAAATTGGCCATAACAAAGGAATAGGTTCACACCACCCGGTGACATTCGAAAATAAATGCACAGTTGAAATAAATAGGGAATTTAAATATATGATCAACATGCTCAAAGGATTGTGTTTAGGATCTGTGTGACTTGTCTTGCAATAATCGGTCTTCAATTAATCTTCTTGAATACTTCCGGCGCACTCACGAACCTTCGCAACGACGGAAACGACAAGCTAACACGCAAAACGAAGAAAAAGACTAATAAAAACCAAATAAACAGTACATATAAAGTAAACAAACATGTAGATCATGATTTTAGATGAATTTAGCAACTTGAACCACTCAAAACCGAGTTACGATGATTTAGTTATGAATTTCCGAAGATTTAATCTATTAGAAAAACAGGAAAAAGAAAAAAAAACGATGATGACGTCATGATGATGACCTCATCAATGGCCGAACCAAGATGGCGACCTCGCCGGAGATTGGATGGTCGGCTGCGACTTTGGAGGACAAGAACACGTAGAGGACGACGAGACGAACCCAACGGTACTCACCCTCGAACCAAACGACGAACGACGACGGCCGGCGACGACGGCGGGGTGGAGCACGTGGCGGCGGCGCTACGAGGCACGGGAGACCACGGGAGAGGGGGCAAACGAAAGAGGAGGACTAGGGGGTCCTATTTATAGCCTTGGATTGAAGAGATCGGACTCCTCCCGCAAGAAATCGATCCGGGAAATCAAAAACTCGGTTTTGGAGATAAACTCGAAAACGAGTTCGATTCGGATAAGATACTCAACGATTAGCTCCTATTTTTGGGGGTAAAGATAGAGGAGGATAAGAGAAATATTTCCCCTCAACTAATTTTAGAAAAACACAAGGGGAAAGGTCAGATTTGGAGGAGAAAAACCGAGCCAAATCGGTCTCAGTTCGGCTGCTAGAGGTAGAAGATAAACAGTGTCGAGGGAGGCAAATTAGACTTTTCGTCTTGGGCTGGCTGAAAACAAAGCAAAGAAAGAAAGAGAAGGGGGAAGCTCGGCTGGGCCGACTTGGGCTGCACGGCCGTGCAGACAAAAGAGGGAGATGGGCTGGAAAGGGCCCAAGACTAGGAAGAGGATTATTATTACTTTTCCAATTAAATTAATCAATGAAATGATCTTTGGATTGTTAAAAATACTTCCTATGCTCAAATAATTCCAAGAAAAATCTTGAACATACTTGGACACCCAAAGTATTTAACAATATTAAAACCAGACCATTTAATGATTAATTTAATATGTGGGTAATTACTGAAATGCTCTTTGTATGATTAAAAAATTAAGAATTGAGCTCCGAAAAATCTGAGAAAATTTCAGAGAGTGTAATTAATCATGGAGAATTTAATCAAAATTAAATCCATCCATGCTTTATATTTAGAAAATTTTATTTCCCACATTTAACTTCACTTGTAAATTAATGAACATTTAATATAAATTCTAATAATAATTTATTAAATAATTTATAAATCCTGAAACAAAAATCAGGATGTGACACACGTATATAAAATACAATATGAATATTACACATTAGTAGTTTCGTAAAGTTATTGAAAAATTTAAAATTATGTTGTTATTTTAATATATTTGAATAATATATTGAGAAAACATATATGCTATTATATGAGAGAAAATATAATGATACTAGCCGCGCAGATTGCGCGGGCCACCATACTAGTTATTATTGTACTACACTCCCACAACAACGCGTGGGTTTCACCTAGTTAAATCCACGCCCATACTCATCGGACACGGTGCCCATGGGCCATGGGTAGCGGACCCAGAGCAGGATTGCCATTCCTAATCGGATCGTTATAGATTATTACTATTTGCTTCTCGCCTCTATAAAAGTATGTTCCCTTAAAATACTTATTTAAAATTATTTGTTTGGTTTGTTTCTTTCAAATATTTAATTTATCTCAATTAAGTAGATAATTTTTGACATATCATAATCTGATGAATAGTTTGTTTCGAATGGGCTATGTAAATTTTGTTAGGAGTATATGCCACTCCAAATGTTGTCACTTGAAGAATAACATTTATAAACTTGAAATTGAAAAGGCACATTTCTAAAATGTCTCTTCTCTGGTGCTGTTTGCCACCCTGTGACCAGATTGCCCTGTAGTCTGTTTTGTCCATCGTCGTTGTATACCTGACAGGCGACAGCTATAGTAGTTGACGTTGTTTCCATGCATTTTGGTTGTCCCATTAAACTCGTTGTAACTTTTCCCCATTTTTCAGCACGGTTTGCACGTACAAAGTCAAGAAAAAAAAGTTCATATCGTTGTCATCTACATAAAGCAATGATTATCCCTGAAAAAAAAACATGTGAAAGTATCTGAATCGCTTACCGTCTAGAAGGGAACTAAAGGTAAAGTCGTTCTTAATTGAGCCGACTAGGTTGAATTTGATCTTGAAAATTCTTTTCTAAGAATTTTGATGTTAACCTTGGGCAGACAAAACAGTACATCAAAACTATTGCACATATTATTTGCCAAAAAATAGAGAGTTATTTTCCTTTTCTTTCAGTCCAGGAAGGGATAAGATTTCAGTTAGTTCAGATTGTACGAAAATACTCCATTCCAAGGAGGCTGCATTAGTACTTCTGCTATGTAGTAATAGGCTTCAGTTTATTCAGATGTATTGGCAAATCTTACATATTGATCGATCATCGATATGAATTGTAAAGTTAAATTCTTACCCTCGGCGTCCAGTCGATGGAGATGGTTTACCAGTCATATTGACAGAGCCTGCGCCCGGCCGAAACGGCGGGTGTTAATGCCTAACATTTCATTTATGCATTCGTCTCCTGCACAAACCACAGTGTAAGAGCTAGGATGAATATAATTATCTATCCAATTAAAGACACAAAATGATACTGCGTGCGATTGTTCAGGCATCTTTTATTCTACTGATTTGCTCATGTACAATAATATACATTCACATCTAAGGGTGCGTTCTTTCAAAGGAGATTGGGGAGAGATTGGAGATATTGTCACTCGTTTTCCGCGCGCACGCTTCCCAAACTACTAAATGGTGTATTTTTTGCAAAAAATTTCTATATGAAAGTTGTTTTAAAAAATCATATTAGTCCATTTTTGAAATTTAAAATAGTTAATACTCAATTAATCATGCACTAATGACTCACCTCGTTTTACGTATCTTTCCAATCTTCTCAATCCCCTCTCCCTCAAACACAGCCTAAGTTTCTAGTTCCAAAAAAAAAAAAGCATCTAAGTTTCTTCAACCTAGTATGTATATTATTTCGCCTTTGCTATTCTGCAGTCACCTGATTGATCAATAGGTGCTCCCATAATATTTGGGCATATCGGCGTTGATAATATACCTAGTACAGAGTACAGAATACAGTCCCACCGACAAAAAAAGACCATTTCTTTCTTTCATGTGGGAAAATGCATGACGTCAAGTTCAACTGTTCAAGTTTCTCACTCAAAACTTCTGTTCGTTTTCTATGTTCGAACTTGCCTGGTAGCTGCCTTCTCCACGTCCACAGCCGCCGCCGCCGCCGAGCTGGCCACAGTGCAACCAGGGTACTGTGCAGTCCCATGAGCAGAACCGTCGTCGGCAACATCGACGGCGGCCACGCGCTTCCCTTTCACCTTCGTCACCGACGACGACGAGGATGATGACACTTCCACCTGGGTGCTATCCGGCGTTCTCCTCGACGACGGGGAGAGGAAAGACAGCTTTCCTGACAAAGAATTTGAGAGAAAAGATGACCATCTGCCCGACCGCGAAAACCGGGGGCTGCACCGAGCGCCCATGCCGACCCCTTCCCCGAGTCTCCTCCCGCGGCGCACGCTCTGCTCCCCCGCCGCGACCATCTCCCTGTGTACGTGCTCCGGCAGCCGCAGCGTGTACCGCTCTAGGTCGCCGTCGAGCCGGACGGCGAGGGAGTGGCCAGTGGAGTGCGACCGGGGAAGCTTCGCCGCCGACGTCTTTGGCCGCAGCCCCGACCGTGACCGCATCGCGCGGAGCTGGGTGCCTATCGCCTGAAGCTCTAGCTCCTCCTTCCTCCGCTCCTCGTCGTCCTCCTCGGTGACCACGTCGATCACCACGGCTGCTGGGTGCGCCCCGTCTTCTTGCCGTATCACAACTATTTCACTGGAGGTGCTGTTCGGATCGGCGGCGGCGGCGGCCGGGATGATCACCTCTTCGGTGGTGTCCTTGTTAGGGTCGAGATTGCGGCGGCAGACGGGGCAGGTCACGTGGCTGGCGAGCCACTGGCCGATGCAGTCCGGGTGGAAGGCGTGGCTGCACTTGGGCAGGAACCTGAGCATCTCGTCGTCCTCGAACTCGCTGAGGCACACCGCGCACTCCAGCGCGGCGCCGGCGACCTTCCCCACCCGCAGCGCCTTCGCCTCGGCGTACTTCATGGTGGGGAACATCCGGACCACCGACGAGTCGAGCCCGCGCGGCCGCCGCTGCCGCCTCGAGACGAAGCTGTTGGCAGGGAGGATCATGGAACGGCTCCCGCCGACGCCGCCGCCCTCCGTCGCGGGGTCGTAACCGGTGCAGTGGCGGAGGTAGATGGTGGAGATCGCGATGAACAGGAAAACCCCGACGACGGCGGCCAGCAGCACGATCATCGTCGTGCTGACGTGCACCTGCTGCCCGGACACGTCGCCGTAGGCATACCCCTGCTGCCCCGCCGGCTGCGCTCCGGCCGTCGACGACGACGCCGCGAGCGCGCACGCGAGGAGCGCCGCGAGCAGCGCGTGCTGGTGCTGGTGCGCGTGCATCCTAGCTCGGCAACTTGGCATGCAGATAGCGCGCGTGGTCGGCGGCGGGAGGCGAGGGCGCCTTGGCTAGTCGTCTTCCCTGCGCATGCAGCGTGCGGAGTCGTACTAAATAGTAAAGGGCCGTGTAGGAGTGGTCAAGTCGAGGTGAGCTGTGACCTGTGAGGAGGACGATCGACGAGAACGTCGCGATAGCGTGGCGCGCGCCGGGTCTCGCGGGAGGATGTGGATTCCGCTGTCCGGCCAGGTGGATACGCTGTTTGGCAGGTTTGACTGTACGATCGAACCGTCCAGGTGTTCAGAAGCAGTGTGGTGACTGGGCATGCCAGTTGGATTTGGACCTTGGACTCCTCTGATTTCAGCTACGTGTCTACCTGTCAGGTCTGTAACGGACCCAGAAACGGTTAACAGTTAAACCACTAAAAAAAGCAAGTCCACATGTAGCTTGAATCAACGGTTACAGGCTCGGAAACAAAGGTGAATCTAGCTCGTAATTAATTAGGTATTAATTAATATAAGCTTAAAAATAAATTTATTTTTTATATAAAACATACTCCGTTTAGCCGTCCAGTAAACCTATTAACAAACAAAAAGGAGTTGCCCAAAGCAATAGCCGCTTTGAAAGGAACAGGTACTAAGGGCAGTCCCAACCTATGGTGTCCATAAGTAGTGTCTATGGTGCCATGTCAATAAGACATCACAATAGAAACTATACTCTACAACCCATACTTTCTTAAATTAGACCATTAATAAATACATCATCTTTCTTCTCTACCAATCATATTTATTCTTTATCTATTATGAAGACAATATTCTCTCCCAATGCAAAACTTGATAATTCTCTCCCAATGCAAAACTTGATAGTGTCTAGTGCATAGGTTCTCGTGTTGAAGTTGTGTCTTGCATGAGACCCAGTTTCTTCCTCTCTTCACTCTCTCTCAATTAATATAGTGCCACATAAACTAAAAGTCCTACATGGCAATGTAGTTAATGCCATAGACACCATCCTAGATGGAGGGCTGGGACTGCCCTAAGAGATGTTGCAAATGATTCATTCTAGTGTATAACGGAAGGATTAATCAATGCGTACAAATATATCTATGAAAATGAAATAAATAGTTGTGCTAAATAAAATCCAATCTTTTATAGATATTAGGATAATCCTAACCTTTCATTTATTTATTAATTAAAAGCTATAACCAAGCTATTAATATTATACATTCCGCAGCCCATATGTCTGCATCGCAAAAGCATTAACGGTTGCTAACATAACTCGAATGATAAGACATTTTTAGAAGCAAATTGTATTGCTAAATTTCCATCCATGATTAGAAGTATAGCCATCATCTCTAAATAATGGCATGTTGCATCATTTCTTGGTCCTCCTCACACCTTCAAAATCCAATCGCACTTTTAAATCTAACCTCGTGTAAAATTGTGCAACAAACAGCCTCATTGTTGCCTTTCAACTTATAGGCAGTTGCCAAATTTTAAATTTTAAAACTCAACTTTTAAGTTGATTTTAAGGTTTTTTCAATTGTAATTTGTTTCTAACATTGGTTTTAAAATCATTAATGACACGTATATAAAATTTTATCCATGAATTCATTTTTATGTTGCTGATAAAATATTATGTTTTATAATCAACATAAATTCGCGTGCCAGTTGAGTGACGCATTTGTGGGTTCCACCCTCTTATTCATTGATCAGGTGTACGGTATCTTTATATGTTTTTCATGCGTTTTGCAACTTGATAACCATTGCCCATAACGTATATGCATGATATGCATCGATTGTACAGCTATGAACATCAATGAGACAATGACCGTACGTGCAAGTACAAGCAGGGAGCCAGGGATCAGCTCCGGCGATGCTTTTATTACTCTCCCTATCCCATATTATAAATGATTTTTAAGGGATATGACACATCGACAGAACATTGTAAAGTTCTTTGATATATAAGAGAAGAAATGAGGGAATTATATTTTTTCCCGAGCCATGAAAACAAAAGTGGGTTGCTCCAAGCTTATATGGCCTTCCAGTTGCAGCAATAAAGCTAACCTTCGTTTCCGTAAAACCAGTACAGTATAAAGACCCTATTTAGATTCTAACTTTTTTTTCAAACTTTTAACTTTTTCGTCACATCGAACTTTTCTACGCATACAAACTTTCAATTTTTCCGTCACATCGTTTCAATTTTTTTAAACTTTTAATTTTAGTGTGGAAGTAAACACAGCCAAAGGCGAGCGAAAGAATTCCTTGAAACGGACTTCAAAACAATTGACTTCCTTCGCTTCGCTCACCCCAATTCCCACGGAGCAACGACGACGCCTGTCACGTCACCTGAGGCGACAGGCCAAACCGACGATCTCCCAACGAACGACTCTGATCGAGAGCTGACCCGATCGTCGCGTGGCACGTCGGCGTGCGCCACCCCCGGGCAAAGTGGCGGCCCACGTACATACGTAGTACAGCTCTAGCTTGGCCGTGCGCGGCGCGGTCCACGCGCTATCCAGCTGCTCTACTCGTCAGTGTGGCTGGCCAAGTGGCCGCCCGCATGCCAAGCCGACACCCGCAGGAGACGGCACAGGACACCACGCCACACCACACTTGCGCGGCCGCGAGAGCGACCCGTAAGGCATAGATAGGCTCCGCTCGCCACGACTACGGCCTGGGCCACTGGGCGAGAGGGACGCCGGCGCCACGGGCGCCAAGCTAGTCGGAGTAGGACGCGGGAGGCTATCGCGCGCTTGGCCGATTCCATCGTGGGGTCCGGGTGCTCGTCGCGTCGCGTCGCGCGCGCGGCTCCCGCGGATGCGGGGGCAGCCACTCGTTCGGCGTGCGGTGGCGCAACGCAACGTGCGGTGGATATGGACGCCAGGTGCGCTGTTTGAGGGGTGCAAGGCACCGGAGCCGGCGCGGCGCGGGCGTAGATGCCAAAACCGGCAAACTGTTCGACCCTTGTGTTATTTACGTATGCGCGTCGATCTGGAGAGTTCTGGAGGATTCACGCCATTCGCGAGCTGTGGGTGATTTTTCTTTTAGCAAGCGGCAAAATATGGATCATCTTCCGTTAGCACGTTTTCTAACTAATACACACACAAGTGTTCCCTAAAATACCATATCACTTTTTAAATTTTTTATAGCAATTAATATCGATTAATCATACACCAATTATTTAACTCGTTTTACGTGCCGTCAATCTATTTAGGCGAAATATTAAGTCGGACGCACCGGGGTTTCATGCATGGGGATTGAATCGGAGGTTTGGTCCTGCGCGTTTGGTGTGGAAAAACAAATCTGTCAGGATCGATGTGCATGTCGTAGAATTTCGCAGGTTAGCTTATTACTAATTGCGATGAAGAATTCTACGTGCTCGTTGATCGTCTTCGGTTGCTAACCCAGATGCAACGTACGGCACTAGCTAGCTGCTAGTTAGAGAGTATAATAAACACGGGTTTAATTTTTGTTACATGCATGACGAACGTAATGAGGTTTCAAACGAGGAAACTACACGCCAGGGCACCCACAAAGACGTGATGGCACGCTTTTGTGGGGCACCGTGTGCGAAAGCATGAATTCTAGAATCGTTTGGCATGTTTGTTTTTTTGCTCTCAAACGCCAACGAAAATGAACGCAGAATCCAAGGTCACAGGAGGACATTCTTCCTAGTCTACCACTCCGATATTATATTGTTCGTAAGTGTAGCTTTTAGAATTTTGACAGTTAACTTATGAAAATGTTATATTTGTTTACAAATTAGAAAAAAAGTACGAATTACCCCCCCCACACACAAAAACAGACATATTAAACCTCAAACTATTAAAACCGGACAAATTACCCTCCAACTCAATCTGGAGCGGTTTTAATCCTACGTGACATACACGTGACACCGACGTGGAAATCCAATCAGCAAAAAATAAAATAAAGAAAATATAGGACCCACAAGTCATTCTATTATTGTGTGTTGTGGCGTTGGAACTTAAGACGCGAGCAGCTACGCGCACAGCGGGCGCGACTCCGATCAGCGGCAATTGGCGACGGGCGTGGCTGGGCGAGCGGCAGTGGGAGCGGCAGGGAAGGGGAATCGGTCGGTGGCGACAGGAGCGGTTGGGCGAGCAGTGGCAGGAGCAAGCAGGGAGAGGAGGAGGAGGAGCCCGTGGTGGCAACGGTGGCCCACCGCGCGTCCCCGTGCGCCCACGACAAGGAGGAGCCCGCGGTGGTGGCGGTGGTCCACCGCGCGCCCACGACGAGGAGGAGGAGCCCGCCGCCCACCGCGCATCCCCGCACGCCCGATCGACCTCCGCCTCCATCGCTGGCCACCACCGTCCTCGGCGCTCCTCCGCCACCCCTAACTGGCTCCGCCCCCCGCGCGCCGCCATCCTCAGCTCGCCACCGCCGGTGGGGATTGAGGTGAGGGGAGGGCAGAGATAGAGAGGAATGGGAAAGAGAGATAAAAACTGACATGTGGGGCCCACCTTTTTTTTATAAAAGAAAGCTGACTGGACTGCCACGTAGGATAAAAACCACCGCTGATTGAGTCAAGGGGGTTATTTTTTTGGTTTGCATAGTTGGGGGTGAAAAATGTCTGGTTTTATGGTTTAGAGGTGTAATTCGATCGGCCGTTATAGTTCCGGGGGCGGGGGGATTTGTACTTTTTCCTTACAAATTTCTTTCATATGTTTCTTGTTTTGCTGTTTCTGCTAATATCAGTGAAAGGTATTGATACCGGATTGTATTGGTCCTATTGGAGAGATGGAGACAGAACTTTGAACATTTCGTTTCCGCTCCATTTCAGTGCATGTCACTGCCACCGCCTCATACGTTAGGCTTCCATTTCCATCCTTGTTCGCCAATCGTTCAGGACTTTCAAGTTTCTTTCCTCCCTTCCGTTCCTGTATACGGAAGTCCGAATGGACAAAACTCAAAAGTCTACCCAGCTGTGGGCCGTGGGTAAGAGGCTTCCTCTGTTCTGCGCCACAGAGCCTCACGCATCGGCCCAACCAGCTTCGAGCTGTGGGCCGCCATTGCCTCATACAGTCATACTCCACGTTGCTTGTTTCAGCCGGAGAAATGTCTCGATTGCTACCGCGAGTTTGTACATGTGCATGCCGTGAGGAACCTCATCGGTGCACGTAGAAACAAAACCAAAAGGTATCAACTTTTTATCGTTCCGGCCACACTTTACATCTCCGTACGATGCTGCCATCTGACGCTACCCACGCTACCTTTCACCAGAATCACCAGCGGCATCTCCTCTCACCAATCACTTGCCCACCCTGCCTACACATTCCCGGATACCCCTCTCCCCGCACGGTGAGCTGCAAGCTTGGAACCACAATGTCTGGCACGGCACCTGCATCACTCTGCAGGTTTCTGAAAGAGCTAGCACCGGCACCAGCCCACCAGCGGCTACCAACCAACAGTGCCATCCAACAGCGGCGAGCTCGATCGGCAGCATCAGAGATTTTCCGGATGCCGCCATGGACGCCGGTGTCCGCACGCGGCCTATATGCTCGCCGCCACCACCGTGGGTGCCGGACTGAATGCCACCAGCCGAGCGATCGATCGATCGATAAAGCGCAGCTCGTGTTGCGTCCGGGAGAGCAGACAGGTGCCTGCAGGTCTCTCCAACTCTGCTTTGTACGAATCGAGAAGTAGCAGGAGGAGCAGTACACTAGTACTTGCATCGGGAGCGTTTTGTCCTGGTTCGAGCGTTGATAAAGTGATTGTTCTTTTCCGAGTGAACTGTTTCAAGCATGGGCTGGGCACACCGTCGTGTTCGTGTCAGGTCGGTCGTTTGAGACGAGAGAATCAGGGGATGGGAACAAGAGGCGGCTAACGGCGATCGGTTGATCTTCTTCTCTGGTAGGAGGAGCACTGATGATGGTGGCACGGCACCGTGCAATTAGTCAACAGGATCATTGGCGGCTAGCATTCATGGTTGAACTTGATGCGTCAGTCCACAGGAAGCAGGAGATAGAATTAGCAGCTAAACGGAATCCCCATCTTCTCCTGAAATCCAGATTAAAAAGTCCCTAGCCTCACCCGGGATTTCGTGAGAACGGTTGCTTCTCCTTTCTGCATCAGGGAATTCTTGCAGCGGAAAATCTATCGATCTCGTGGCTCCCCCACTGCTGTGACGCTGCGTAGATGAGGCAGCAGCTTTCGACCGTGGGGCACCGAGCTAGCTGGCGACTCCTATTTAAACCTCTACTATAACTGGCGGATTGTACACCTAATTGTCATTTCCTGTGGCGATTACAACTTGTTTATTTGGACTGACTAGTCATTGTCCATTACGTGGGGGTACACCCCCAATCAATTCGTTAAGCATTTCTTTTTCTCGCAAAAAAGGGTGCAAGACTACAGGGACCCTGATCAAGAGCACATAACTACATACTACTTCCCTGCACTCCCACTCTGACTCTCAAAGTCTATTCTACTGTTTGTATGCATTACCTTTTTCAACAAGGACAAGGAAGATGGAATCAAAGAATAACCAATGCGTACTGCACCAGATAATTAGCCCACAAAAGGATGATTAGTTGATCCCTAATTAAGCTAAAGCTATGCTAATCCAAGCAAGCTACCATACGCGAACGTGGCATCGGGCGACAGGCCGGACACGAGGATACGTGTGGTTTGCCTCCCCTGGACTCGCCATGTATATACCCCATATTCCCTTCTTCTTCCCCGTGCCGTGGCAGGTTGGGTCGTTGTCCCCATAGCACATCCATGATATTCCAAGCTTCTCTTTAAAAGGGACCACCTTTTGCTGCCCCCCTGACCCGAGTTCTCTCCTCTCCTCTCCTAGTCTCCTCCCTCCCATGCACGCCGCCCATGGTGGAGGTGGAAGGCAACCAGTAACCATCTTGCCAATCTCGAGTTCTCAGCTTGTGGTCACAGGTGGAGATTGGCCACTTCTTGCCTACCTGGTACGTGCTAATGACCAGCTAGCTAGAATGGTACGAGGCTGAGCGAGTGAGTGGAAGCTTGGTTGGTAGGTAGGAGAAGGCTCTCATGGCGCTGGAAGCTGTGGTGTTCCCGCAGGAGCACCTGTCGTGCGCTGCCGCCATGTACGCGGCGCCGCCGTCGTCGCTGGGATGCGGCGTTGACATGGACGAGTTCGAGGAGAACGGTGGTGTGGTGCTGCAAGAGGAGGCCGGAGTGGCGGTGCACGGCGGCGGCGGCGGTGGCGCTGGTGGGATGATGAGCCTCTGGGTCAACGCGGCGACCTGCGCGCGCTCCATTGCTGCTTCCGGCGCCGTGGAGGAGTTCTGGGACGAGAGGCAGTACCCCGTGTCGTCACCGCCGGCGGCGCCGACGCCAGCAGCGTCCGGCGGTGGTGGCGGCCACGCCAAGGCGGCCGCGCGGAGGCGGCGGCGGCGGCCCAAGGTGGTGAAGAACAAGGAGGAGGCCGAGAGCCAGCGGCGCAACCACATCGCCGTGGAACGCAACCGGCGGCGGCAGATGAACGAGTACCTCGCCGTGCTCCGCTCCCTCATGCCGCCATCCTACGCGCAGCGGGTACGTATACGTGACACCCTCTCTCGCACGATCAGTACTGTATCATCATCCCTACGCCTCGTCGTGCCCGTGTGTGCTATGCATGGACGAACGGCTTGGCATTCACCGCATCGCCTCGCGCTGAGTCCCCAACATTTCACTGTAACGGATGTCAAATCTCCTCCCTGGCCATATGCATATGGCGCGCAGCGGGCGCTTTGGTTGCATCTGTCACGGAATCTATGGCGAGACCTTGTGTGGTCGTGTACTCGTGTACCACCACCACTTCGCCGCGCATCAAAAGCCGCGCCGTCCTGTGTGTGCGTGGCGCCAATGCATGCTAAGCTGATGATCGACCGTACGTGGTGTTTGCTGCTGCAGGGTGACCAGGCGTCGATCGTCGCCGGCGCCATCAACTTCGTCAAGGAGCTGGAGCAGCTGCTCCAGTCGCTAGAGGCCCAGAAGCGTCGCGCCGAGCACGCGCCGCCGGCGCCGCCGTTCGCCGGGTTCTTCACGTTCCCTCAGTACTCTACCACAGTTGGTGACAACAATGCGGCCGGCTCTGGCGCCGCCGACGGCGAGGGCGGCTGCGGCGCGCGGCCCGGCGCGGCCGACATCGAGGTGGCCATGGCGGAGAGCCACGCGAACGTGAGGGTGCTCGCGCCGCGGCGGCCGAGGCAGCTGCTGAGGATGGTGGTGGCGCTGCAATGCCTCGGCCTCACCGTGCTCCACCTCAACGTCACCACCACCGCCGACCATTTGGCGCTCTACTCCTTCAGCCTCAAGGTTTGCATGCCAAATCAAGCCGTTCTTTCGCGCGCTACAGACCTACAGTGACAGATTAATTTTTTTTTGCGGGGAAGGGTAAATCTATTACTCAAATTTAGCGTCATCACAGATTATCTGTGATATAAAGTTACAAGACCCTTCCAACCAGAAATCAGAAACATTCTCCGACCGTGCTTTATTCGCTAACGCATGGCTAACCCGGTTCTGACTCCCTACGCGCAGATTAATTTGATTTGATTGATTCATCATTTTGTGTTGCAGATGGAGGATGAATGCCGGCTTTCGTCAGTCGACGAGATCGCCGGCGCCGTCAATCAGATGGTCACGAAGATCGCTGGCGAGTGCATTAGTTAGTTAATTAGCTTGAAAAAAAAAGAGGTGTTTTTGTGCGTGTATGTGTTTGTAGCAATTAATCCCGTCCTAGTACATGGATAATTCAGGCGATTTGAGCCATTGTCAGGGTAGTACAATACTAGCTGCCCGCCATGTTTGCGTGCAAGTAATTAAACATGTATCAATCAGCGGATCAGATCTGCTTAACTGAATTTTCAAAGTACATATGTAAGCATCCAGCTCGTCGAGTCACATCTCGCAGCACCAATTATTTAGCACCTGCGTGTGCCTACGGGTGATCAACTCGTGGTGGCTAATTTTCTTTCATTTTTTCTAATCATTTCTAAACGAAACTGGACGGTTTTAGTCCATGAATCACAGTTCATCAGGTAGGAAGTAATGTACTATGACGCGCTTCAATCATCTTTTACATTGCTATCACCCTGGCGATCACGTATGTACCTTGATGGCTTCAGATGTCGGAGTCTGAAGATGAAAAGAGCCTCTCGGGTAACAGACGTCGGAGTCATTGTGACTGAACCAGCCGTAGTGGCCTTTCCTACATCATGCTGCTGCTACTGATCAGGGCAAAAGTTTTCGTAGGATTTTTGGACTTTCATCCACAAAGTCTCTTTCTAGGATTCGAATGATTAAAATGGGGGCCATGGTTGCGGATTGGATTTTAGGAGTATATCCCATAGGAATTATTGCAATTGAGTTGAACAATGCTAATGAACAGGAATCCTCTTCTTTTTAGAGAGTAAAATGGCAAGCCTGGTTGTGAAGTTTCTGAAAGATTGAAAACGACTCAAAAAAAATGAAAGCCACTGCATGTACGGATAGCTTTATTTTCGGAATCATTCCAAGCTATCACTAACATGTGGGGGTCCATCAATTTGCTTAAATTTTCTAGGCTATATGTGAGAGATGGTTGAAATCAATTCTGAGTTTTTGTAATGCACCGTCAGTCCGCGGAAAAACGAATAAGCAACCGTACTAAGCTTACTGAACTGTAACTGAAAAGAATGTTACCCACATGCCTGCAAATCTGCAATACTGCATCTGCATATGCCTTGGCAGTGGGTATTTTGCTGCTTTCTGAACTGTAGTGTCTTTTTGCGGCCTACTAGCTTGCTCCTTCAATTCAATCTGCAGTCCAGCTCTGAAAGAAAGGTGTGCAGAAACGATAGAAGAAAGAGCTTTAATTTCCTTCAAGAAGTGTATTGTCCCTTTTCTGTAAGATTTTTATTTGTTGTTTAGTGATTTGAGTAAGTATCTGCTTCAGTTCTTCAGTGCCGTCTCAAACAAAACTGGATACAGTACAATTAGGTGACAATAGAGGAATCGATTTGGAGTATCTAGAGGCAGAGGTAATTCATCTTTCTTCAGTTCACTCCTCCAAGAAAGTTTCGAACTTCATAATAACAGCAAGTGTGTTCATATAGCTGTAGTTTGATAGAGAATCATAAAATGTCAGAAGGTAGCTGGGCTGGCTAACAGTCTTATAAGATGACAGAGGGTCTCAAGGACGCTAAAATTAGGCATTTGCTATTTTTCAATAGATCACAATCAAGGCATTTTCCATTTTTCAATTATCAAAAATCAACATTCATCACCTTCAGGAAAAAGAAACTGAACATTCAGAAAGTTGTTACTCACAGCTGCCTAATCATGGAGAAAAATAGGATGGTACTGAAAGTCTTGCTATTCTCAATGGGACAAGGAATCATCCCTTAACATGATTTCTAGGCCGCGGTGCTAACTAAATAGATCATCCTGCAAAAAGTTGAAGAGAAAGACAAAGCCACTGTACTTTTGGATCTTGTCTTAGAGCAAATGAGTAAGCCAGTGCATCATACGTACCATAGCCAGTAGCGAGCTATTTGGCGTTAGGGTTCTTACAAAAAGGGCTACGAGGACTGAGCACATGCGGCTGCACAAAATCTGGGTCTAGCGAACCCATTTGCCAACTCTGTAACATCAGGTTAGGTCTCCAGAATATAACAATGTGATTGATGTCTGAAAGAGATCAGGAATTCTTAAGTGGTCCACTGCATTTCCAATGGAGGAACATGCCAATGACTCTACCATCAGAAAGATCTCCGGCACCAGATCTTGGTTGGAAATACCCGTATGAAAAATTCACAACCATAGTGCCATACTTAGTTGACGATCATTGGATAATTAAGCTTATCTGTTAGATAACGTGTGCCTTAATTATTGTGCTTAAACAATCAAAGAATGAGAGTATCATACGCTAAGCATAACTTGGACAACTTGATCCGTCAGACATACTATCTTGGATTCATGCTACACTGTCCATCTTCACTCGATCATCAGCAGATGTCTCAGGAGATCTGAACTGAAATGAGATGCAATCAGCGCGCTGGCTTGATTTACTTAAAAACTTATGATTAAACATATTCTTAAATCCCCATTGATTAGCCAACAGCTAGCTAGTCATATGTCAAAATAACTTATTAGCGATAAAAAATAATTTGTGAGTAAATTTTGTCCTTAGCGACTTAAAAATTAATACTAAAAAGAAAAAACGTTAAAAATATCCTAAAATTGACTTCAAAAATTAAGTTTTAAATTTAAAATTTAAAGTTTAAACGTCCAACCCTTGATCCCAAATTTCATGTGTATTCTGAAAGTAAAAAATAAAAATAAAAATGAGCAGTTCTATGTGTGCAGGGACAAACCAAACCACCAAACACATTTCAGGAAGGGCTCGCCGGTCACCAATCGCCGTATGCAGATGAAATAACAGATACATCACACCTACCATGGGATCCCTTCTGGACCAGGAAATGCAAATACCCGGTGTTCTTGCCCTTCAACTCTGCAAGTCTAGTGATCCATCACCTGATGCATGTATCGACAAGAAGAGAAAAACAGGCCATCTGCTGTGGAATAATGACTGGTTAAAGGTGTTGCCAGATATAGAGCTATCGTGGTGAGCCCCCTTCCATTGATTCCTGTATCTCCCATCCCATTATGTAAGCGAAAAAAAAAAAACCCACTCCGCTGAGAAACAAAACGCTAGTGAGACTGAAAAAGGTCAGGCCTGAATTACTGCAAGTTGGTACTTGTATGCTGTACAAGAAGGAACAGTATTATAGTAGACCAGTGGTTAGGTACAATGGACCATTCAGGCCCTTGCCGGCTCTCCTCCAAGGCTCTGCAAAGTGGTCGAGAGAATATTTGTTGTCACATTCTGTTGTACCCCCCGATTGGCAGGCTCTTGATGCAACAGTGGTAGAACACAGGGCAAAGTGAGAGCGAATTCAGCTCGTTAAAGGGACGCGAGCAACAGTTGTTCATTTATTATTTACAGTGTCGATGCGGCGGCACTGAATTTTGATCGATCCAACCGAATCCTTGAATAACAGTTGGGTTGGAGTACGGAGAGGAAAATCTGGGTTGGCCCGGCCGTGAGTTGATCGTGTATTGGCGCCTGATGCTTTGCACAGTTTACGGATCATTTCCTCACGTCGTCACTGCGGGCAGTTTATTTTTTAAAAAATAACCGTAATGACACATAACCATCACGTAGGCACCATGACGAATGAAGACCGGATCAACAGGCCATATAGACCCCATATCAGATAAAACCACCTACAAAGAGTTGAGGGAGACACGATATCCAGTTTTGCATGTAAGAATGATAATCGGACTCGGCCAATAATTAAGGGACTCCAAATGAATTTTCCAATTTTTAGCCTAATATGGCCCACAGAATGCTTGGGTCTGATTGCTAGTACCAATTTTAGTATGTTCTGGCCTTGGGAATAAGTTTACTCTAGATCCCTCAATTTGTCGCCTAGTCTGATTTTCATCCTCAGTCCAGAAAACCGGATAAAACACATCCCTCAACTTATAAAACCATGCATAAGAGGTCCCTTGGCAGTATTGTGGCCGGTTTTAGATGATGTGGCACACACGTGGTTCCCTTTGACTAGGTCCTCATCCCACGTGGTATTGACGTAGCGCTAACGTATCAATTGGATGCCCAAAAAATAATAAAAACTATGGGACCCACATGTCAGCTACACACGAAAATAAAAAAAAGGCGGGCCCATGTGGTCCCACATGTCATCCTCCCTCTTCCCTCCACCCCCTCTCTTTCTCTCTCCTACACTGCAAAAGGGCAAGCGGCGGCGGGCGGCGCAGAGCGGTGGGCGGAGCGACAACGGGTGGCAGAGAACGGAGGGGTGGCGGGCGGTGGGCGGAGCGAGCGCCGGGCGGAGAAGAGGAGCGGCGGGTGGAAGCGAAGCGTCGGCGGGGCGGTGGGTGGAGCAGTGGGGTGGCAGGTGGAAGTGGAGCGTCGGTGGGGCGGTGGGCCGAGCGACGGCGGGCACCAGGGGCGGTGGCCGCAGCGAGAGGAGCGGTGCACGACGGCGGGAGATAGGAGAGACGGCCGGCGGACGAGAGGAGCACCGCGCGGTCGGCCTCCCTTCCTCTCCCTCTGTCATCCGCGGTGAAGAGATGGGGTGGAAAAGGTGGGTTTTTTTATTTGACTGATAGGTGGGTCCCGCATATTTCGTTTAATTTTTTTTGTTTTCAATTTTGTTCCTTTATTTTTTTCTGATCAAAACGCCACGTCAATGCCACGTGAGATGAGGATCTAGTCAAAGGGAGCCACGTATGCGCCGCGTCATCCAAAACCGGCCACAATACTACCGAGGGACCTCTTATGCACGATTTGGTTTTGTAAGTTGAGGGATATGTTTTCTGGATTGAGGATGAAAATCATACTGGGCTACAAATTGAGGGAATGGAGTGAACTTATTCCCTGGCCTTGTGGGTGTACAATTGAGCTACAGAATTCAGAACAGAAACGGCATTCACAGAACAGGAACATCACAAGTCACAACATCTCCTACTACCATACGAGCATGCAGAATTCAGAATAGAAACGGCATTCCCACCTAACGCGGACCATGACACCTGATGCCTTCACACTTTGGAACTGACCGGGAGCATGAGCATGGAAGGATGGGCCACGCACAGGGTCGCGTTCCATTGTTGTTGATCTGAAGTCTGAACTGCAAAAGGAGCATTTCAGTCTCGTAGGAGGAGAGTGCCTTACTGTCTGAAAAACATCGCCCGTAATTTGTTCTTTCAGACTTTCAGAGGGCGCTCAGAGCAGTAGGAACATTCTTGGATCGGTTGGTAGGCGAGCGACCATCTTCTGACATCTGGAGTCTTGAATAGCGTCTCAATCTCAATCCGACCCCGGAAACAAAGCAGATGCTTCCATTTTGCCTTCTAATTAATCAGGGGTCTACTGTCAAAAATAATAATAATCAGGGGTCTAATCCTCTACTGTCCAGTCCTTCACCCAGAATATATATGCAGTGTTCATGTCACGCTTTTGTCTTATAAATTAACTAGTGGCAACAGCATATTGATGTCTGACCACTGGATAACACCGACGCAAATCATCTGCATCTCATGCACAGGGAAAATCAATCTTACCGTCCTAAAACTCGTTTGATAAACAGCAAGTGTGAAGTCATTATCAAAATAGTTGGTGCGTAGCTTGGCCCAGTTGATCTCCATGTGAAGAGGTAAATCAGATGCCACACCGGAGGCCCGCTGAGCTAGATACAATCCGGACGGTACACTCCACTTTGCTGAATTATTTTTCGCCGCGCCGCTTTGTTGAATTATCAAATGAAAAGATATTGCACCTAAAAGAACAGTTTAGGCTCGAAGCTATAATGCTCCTTTGATGCGTATCTCTCAGTTGGGCATCCGAGAGAAAGGAGAATTTTGATGTGAGCCACCCTTTTTCTCTGCTTCCAGTGTACGTTTTCGAATAATTTGACAATTGACCATTTGTAAATGAAAAGATGTGTAGTCTATAGTGGAATTAGATTTTGTCTGGTCATTTAATCAGTGACACATGGGTGATAATATCGACCAGCCAAAATCAGCAAACTGAGAAAACTGCACAGGATCGATATCATCACGATGGGAAAAAAAAGGAACTTTTCTTGAGACTTAAATCATGATGATTTTATTGGTTGTTGGCATGCACAGAACAACCAGAGCTTTGGCTCTGTTCATCCAAAGGCGTTCCATTTCCTCATCGGTAAAGCGAGCTCGATATATTCTTTCCCACACGTTCGGTGACAACCACTCGGCCACCAAACCTCCCCGTTGTTGCAATCGATCAATGCTGCTATATATAAGGGACATGCTTTCCGTCGCGTCTCGTCTTCTCATGGTTGCAACTCTCCAAGAATCATCTCAAGTGTAAACACGTACGCGCTGCCAACCTTATTTCCCAGATTATCTGATCAGTGACTCCATCGCAATGGCTTCTTGCGGCGCTTCCTGCCTGACAATTGCGGCGCTGCTGCTAGCGGCGTGCGCCTCCTCCGCCGCCGCCACCAGCTACACCGTCGGCGACGCGTCCGGGTGGACGATCGGCGTTGATTACACCAGCTGGGCCGGCTCCAAGTCGTTCAAAGTCGGAGACAGCCTCGGTAAGTGCATGCGAGTGCATGACCATGCTGCCATGGACATGGATTTGATTTTTTTTCGTTGCTTGACTTGACGAGTTGGAGTTACGAGTGTTTGGTGGTTTGATTTACTGTGTAGTGTTCAAGTACGCGAGCGGAGCGCACACGGTGGTGGAGGTGAGCGCGGCGGGGTACCTGGCGTGCGCGGCGGCCAACGCGCTCGGCTCCGACAGCAGCGGCTCGACCACCGTCGCCCTCAAGACGCCCGGCAAGCACTACTTCATCTGCACCATCGCCGGCCACTGCGCCGGCGGCATGAAGATGGAGGTGGACGTCTCCGGCTCCTCCTCCTCCTCCAGCGGCGGCGGCGGAGGTGGAGGTGGCGGTGGCTCCACCCCCTCCTCGCCATCGTCGCCAACACCGACCACGCCGAATCCGTCGACCCCGACGCCGACCACGCCGTATCCGTCAACCCCGATGCCAACCACGCCGTATCCTTCGACCCCAATGACGACGCCCACCACGCCGTACACGACTCCGACGTCTCCGGCGTGCTCTGGCGGCGCCGGCGCCACGCCGGTAACCCCGGTGACGCCGGGCACCGTCCCGTTCATGTCATACAATGGCGCCGGCGGGCTCGGACCGGTGGCGCTGGCTACCATCGGAATGGTTTGCTTCGTCGTATTCGTGCAGCTTGGACTGTTGTAGAGTAGTAGCCAGGATGGAGGCAGTGCAAAGTGATCGTATATGTAGTATTTAGATGTACGTACAAAGGTCGCGTCGTGTACTGCAATGCTAAATGTAATGTGTTCATTGTATTCATTGTTGTAGCTGTGGAGCTGAATTGCTACATCTCAAGTTACCCTATTTTTCAGCCCCATCGTGTGGCTTATAAAATTTTTATAAGCGTGTTCTCAATTATCTAAAAGCAAGGGTTAAAAAATAAACTACGATGAAAAAACCTCAAAATCAACTCTAAATTTTATGTTGAAAAATTTAAATTTTGACTGATAAGTATAAGCATAAGCGAAAAGATGAGGCCATTCCAGTCATGGCAACCGCTCAAAATTGTTCCTTTTTATACTTTTGGATTGCGTTATCTTGGGGAAAGGAAATTAAATTCCTTGTGTTTTTATCATGTTCATGTGATAGTAATATGCGAATTGGATTGTACTACTAATACCAACGCACACGATTCGTTGATAGTGTTTCTGGCACTTGAGTTGATGAGATCCAGTGGACTTTGTAGAAGCCCATGTGTATTTAAACGGCCCGTTTATGATTAGAAGACTAACCATTAGTCTAGTTTGGCTCCCAATACATCACAGACTTTTTGTCCATGACTATATTTTAAAATAGATGTTACCAGTTACCGTGGGAGTTTTGTGTGATAACAGTAAAAATAACATAAATACTTTGCATAATTTGTATTTTATCGACTATTGAGAAAAAGCTACAAACAATCGATATGATTTGGTTATAACAATTTAAATTATATATAGATTAATTATTCAAAAGCAAAATTGAGGTGATGTGGTTCGATAAGAGAAGAAAAAGAAGATAGATAATATAGATTAATCACGTAAAGACTAAGGTGATATGACTTCGTAATAGAATAAAGGAAGAAATATAATTTAGACCATAGATCAATTATCTAAGGGATAGAAATAATCAAGGTGATTTGGCTTAATGAAAGAAGAGAAAAATAGCATTACCTATGTTAGGTTGCGTTCTTTTCTCCACTTTCTCAACTTATACTCTCTCGTTTTTCACGCGCTTGCTTCCCAAATCTCTAAATGATGCATTTTTTGTTATAAAACTATTTCTATAGCAAAGTTGTTTAAAAATATATTAATTCATTTTAAAGTGTTTTTAGCTAAAACTTAATTAGTCATGCGCTATTGACTTGTTCTGTTTTACGTGCGTGAGGTACCGAATGCAACCTCAGTGGAGTTCCCAATCCTAGTTTGTGCGCAATGGTCCATTTAATTAGTTTTTGCTTCGACTGCGTTCTTTCGTGAGAGATAGGGGAGATTGTGACTCGTTTTCCACGCGCACGTTTTTCAAACTACTAAACGATGTGTTTTTAGCAAAAAAATTTTCTATAGGAAAGTTGCTTTAAAAAATCATATTAATCTATTTTAAAAATTTAAAATAGTTAATACTCAATTAATTATGCGCTAATAGCTCATCTCTTTTCCTCTCCTCTCAAACACTCCCGATCAAATTGTTGTAAACCAACGCGCCTATTAGCGGATCACCGGATCCGTTCCCTGTCCCTCCCACAGCAGTAGAGGCGTGAGATGATGTAGAACACTCGCGCCCATCCCTTAGCTCTCTCTTCATTATAGATCTCATCTGGAGTACAAGCCAACCATTAGCCATTAGATGTCACACCCTGCCCCTGTATATATAGGGGTCTTAGGAGGAGATAGATCTTATCTCTACTCCGGTTCGGATTGGCCCACAAGAAACTTATCTCCAAGAGATTTGTTTCACAACACTCCCCCTTGGGCTAATCCGCGACCAGCTCATGCCTCGTCAAAACTCTTACCAAAACCCAGTGGGAAAAAGGCTAGGAGAAAGAGTACATAGTTATCGCTCATGCATTGCACGTTGTTGTCTCGTTAAAAACCTTATGTGAGGAACACTGTCACGCCCAGAAATTTAGCCCAAATTTCCAGACTATTTTGTGTATTAAATCCCTGTCCAGGACCAGCCAGGGTACACAAAACGACAAGTAATATACAGTTCCAAACGTAAATAAAGCGTAAAATACTTACAAAAGAGGCACTTAGTCCTCGCACCGAAACGAAAACAGCAGCAGCGGAAAAAGGCGATCCTAGCGGGGCTTCAGCTCCACTCCACAGGCAAAACTCAACTGGGGTCTGAGCCTTGGTCCTCTAACTTCGTCTTCAGCTCAGAAGCACTACACTTCTGAAAAGGGGGAATAATAGCAAGACTGAGTACAACCACCGTACTCAGCAAGCCACACCAACGATGCAGACGTGCAAGGGGAACACAAGGACGGTTTGTGGCTATTTGCATAAAGGCGGTTGTAAAACATTTTATTGAGCAAAACAGTAAAACTGTTGAGTAATTAAAGTAACATTAAATCTCCACTGATCAACGCTACACCACGTTGAACAGGCCCAACCAACCCACCTAAACTACAGTGTATTAGGTCGATTTATTAAGTGTGAGACTAATCACGGTGAATCTGGTCGACCGCCCATAACCGCGGGCACGGCTATTCGAATAGTTTTACTCTGATCAGAGGTGTACAACTGTACCCACAAGACACAGCCCCACGACACGTTCCCGTGCGCCGACATGCCACCACGACATACCGGAAAGAGGCCGTGACAGGACCCTTCGCATAACCCCCTCTAACCGATCGCACCACACCTTAGGGTTCACCCCCGTCCCCAGCAGGCAACGGGCAGCCCCCCTTTCGTGCCGCGGTGAATCCGGAAGCCGATCAACCGGACACCCCGGCCGACCCAACTCCATCACGCCCACCCTCGCCTGGGTACGTCGGCTAGAGAAAAGCTACACTACAAGCCCAGCCGTTGCCCACGCTGGCTTGTGGTAAGTACGATAAGTTCTTCCAGGGCATCCCGCGAACCGGTCCTTAACTGCCATGGGTGCGACCAGCAAAACCATGCACCCACAGCCCACCATTCAGTCGCATTTTAGTTGGATAATTACGACCATGAAGCATGGCCAGGTGTCTCGAGCACGCAGCTCACTCTGATACTAAAAAGGTCTAATACTGCAGTTATCCCATCAACTGAGCTAGTGGTAATTAAGCATGGCTAAGCATATAGTTCTAGCTAGGTCACATAAGTAACATGAGCTAGTCGATTCATTACCCAAGGTTGACAAAGAACAGATATCAAGTAAACATGGCACAAGCGAGCAGATAGGTAAAACCCTGACCCCATGTAATTAGCAAAACATGCATATTTGTTTGCAAACAGTAAAACATTTGTAAATTGGGATCAACATGCTCAAGGGGAATGTGTGACTTGCCTTGCTTCTTCACTTTGATCTTCCGAACTCTTTTCCTCGCGACCGCGGACTTCCGAAACGACGGAAACTACACGCTGGCACGCAAAACGAGAAAAAACTCTAATAAAAACCAAGGAAACAGTACATAAAAAGTAAACAAACATGTAGAGCTCAATTTTAGATGAATTTTGCAAGTTGAACGGCTCAATTTGGAGTTCGAATGAATTAGATATGAATTTTAGAAGGTTTTGAGCCATTTTAATGAATTTCTATAATTAAACTCGATTTATTGCGCAATTATTATTTATTTTTACAAAGGAAAAAGGATGCTGCTGACGTCATCAAGGGAAGACCAGCGCCGACACGCGGGCCCCGCACGTCAGCGGCACAAAGGGGCGGCGCACGGTGGACCAAGTCCACACGTGGCCTCGGGGGCGCGTCCACCACGTGGACGGCCCAGATCGGCCCGAGCCGATCGGGCGGCCGAGGGGAGCGGCGGCCAGGGGCACAGCACGGCACAAGGCCGGCTTGGCTGAGCCATGGCGCGGCGGCGGCGCACGAGAGAAAGTGGCGACGCGGCGCGGCAAGGGGGAGGCGGCAAGGGGGAGGCGGCAACCGGCTGCACCAGCCGGCGACGTGGAACGGCGGCGGGTGGCCGGAGGACAGCGGCGCGCACGGGGACGGCGACGCACCCCAAGAGGCGGCGGTCGGCAAGAAAGGGGACGGGAAAAAAGGAAGGGAGGAGAGATCCTCACCGGAAGCGGCGGCCGACGCGGAGGAAGAGGACGGCGACGACGATTGCCCAATGGCGACTTGCGAGGACGGAGGGCGGACGGGGTCGCCCTTGACCTTCAGAAGGAGAAGAGGGAGTTAGGGAGGGGAGGACCGATGCGGGGTGACTGGAAACGAAGACCGATGGCGATGACAAGAGGTAGAGCTCACCGGCGACCGAGGAAGGAGGAGCTCCGGCGGATTTCCGGCGAAGAGGGGCGGCGGCCGAGGTCCTCCTCGTCCTTGCGGAGCTGAGGGAGGCAACGGCGCGAGTCGACGTCGACCGAAGCGGCGGCGCGACGCGGCTGGAGGCGGTGAAAGGGGCGGCGGCCTCGGGTGTGCGGTGGGAGTGGTGCTCGAGGGGTGGAGAGGGGGAAATAAGAGGCGGCCGGACTTCCCCTTGCGGTGGCGAAGCTGGCGGTGGCGGTGGCTCGGCGCGGCGACGGCTGTGGCGGCGGGAAACGGCGACCGGAGCTCGCCGGAGTGTGGCAGCGCGTGGGTGCGGCGTGGGGAGAGCGAGGGAGAGTATGCCGGGCTCGGGAAAAATGGGGAAACGGACGAGGGGAGCACGGGGATGCTTTTTATGGGCTCGGGAAGGCGGGATCGAGGCCGGACGTGGCGGAATCGGCCGGCGAAGTGGGGCGCCGACGTGGGGTGGTGGAGGGGTTAACCGGCGCCGATTTTCGCGGGGAGAGTGGGGGAAATGGTGGAGGACGTGGAGGGGATCGTGCCCACGTCGTTGGATGCGAGCTCGGGTGCGGGAGGGCGCCGGATTTTGCGGCGACGTGGACGGCTATGGCGGTTGGGGTCGGCCGGCGAGAGGTAGGAGGAGGAGCTGACGGGTGGGACCGCCGGTCCCACCTGTCGGCGAAGGGAGAGAAGGAGGGATGCAAAACAGACTTTTGCGAGCGGGCCAAGTGAGAGGGGAGCCGGCCCGAGAGAGGGAGAAGGCGCGCGGGCCGCGGGAGAGGAAAGAAGACTTGGGCCGAAAATGGCCCAAAGAGAGGAAGGGGGAAATTTTATTTGTTTTCTTTTTATTTTAATTGATGCAATGATCTTTGTGTTATTAAAATTATTTCTTGAGCTCCGAAAATTCACGGAAAATTCCGGAGAGTATTTTAGGGCACAAAGAATAT